TGCCAGAAAGACAGAGAGAGACAGAGAGACAGAAAACGAGAAATCCAGAGAGCATGGCCATGCCACAATCCCTTCTCCTCCATTCTCCTCTCGGGATCTTGGGCACGCATGCACACATGCCCGGCATGAGTTTAGGCCACTGGGTCCAGGACTCAAACCGTGGTTGTCTACATGGGAGTCTAGCAATATAGCCATTATGCTAACTGCTGGTCCCTTGGCTTAAGTTTCTTAATTTATCTTTAAGATGCTTAGTCTTGTTTTGTAATCAGTTATTCTTTTCTATGATCTTTTTGGCTATTTTGTCACATTGTGAAAATAAAATATATTTACAGTTTTCTGTCACTGTAAAAATAGTGGCTATAATTGTATTTTACTCTGCTGTAAGTGAGTTGTATTCTTGGAGATCTACAAGGTCCCTGAAACTACGTTTTTCTATCTTCTCTGATTACATAAACATATCTATAGTGTGGCCCTTTCTTGCTCCAAACTAAATCATTCACAGGAAAAAATCTTAGAACATCCTAAGTATCCATCTTGTATATATACTTTTGGGATAGCTCCCAGTTTGGGGGAACACATCTGAGCGTGTATCATTTGGAACTGGGAGAAAGTAAGGAAGGGAGGTACAAGGAGTCTGGTGAGAAAGACCGTTTTCTCACATTTTTGTGTCAGGTAAATTGTAAAGGTCTGGGGCTTGGTTAATAGATTCTTGTCTGTCTTTCTATGGAAACAAAACTCAGAAAGACGAGGTTCCTTGATGTCCTTGATATTGTCTCTTCTCATTTTACACCTCCCTGTACTTAAAATCCATTGTAGCAGGACATTTTGGCCATATGATGGGTTTGCTCCATGGGAAAAATGTTTAAAAAGCTAGATTGAAGCTTGCCAAGCAAATAAACCAAAGAATAAGATTTGAGACTTTAAAAAAATAGAGTTTTTAAGTTAAAAAAAAAAGATTTCCCCAATGGGATGCCAAAGGATTGTGACTTACTGGGGTAGACTGAAACTCACTAATTAACATCTTTAGCAAAGGATCTCAAACCTTCCATGTTCCAGTTACCATCTGGATAATTCTTTTTTTTTTTTTTTTTTGCTGTAGGTTGTGTGCACTTGCCAGAAAGACAGAGAGAGACAGAGAGACAGAAAACGAGAAATCCAGAGAGCATGGCCATGCCACAATCCCTTCTCCTCCATTCTCCTCTCGGGATCTTGGGCACGCATGCACACATGCCCGGCATGAGTTTAGGCCACTGGGTCCAGGACTCAAACCGTGGTTGTCTACATGGGAGTCTAGCAATATAGCCATTATGCTAACTGCTGGTCCCTTGGCTTAAGTTTCTTAATTTATCTTTAAGATGCTTAGTCTTGTTTTGTAATCAGTTATTCTTTTCTATGATCTTTTTGGCTATTTTGTCACATTGTGAAAATAAAATATATTTACAGTTTTCTGTCACTGTAAAAATAGTGGCTATAATTGTATTTTACTCTGCTGTAAGTGAGTTGTATTCTTGGAGATCTACAAGGTCCCTGAAACTACGTTTTTCTATCTTCTCTGATTACATAAACATATCTATAGTGTGGCCCTTTCTTGCTCCAAACTAAATCATTCACAGGAAAAAATCTTAGAACATCCTAAGTATCCATCTTGTATATATACTTTTGGGATAGCTCCCAGTTTGGGGGAACACATCTGAGCGTGTATCATTTGGAACTGGGAGAAAGTAAGGAAGGGAGGTACAAGGAGTCTGGTGAGAAAGACCGTTTTCTCACATTTTTGTGTCAGGTAAATTGTAAAGGTCTGGGGCTTGGTTAATAGATTCTTGTCTGTCTTTCTATGGAAACAAAACTCAGAAAGACGAGGTTCCTTGATGTCCTTGATATTGTCTCTTCTCATTTTACACCTCCCTGTACTTAAAATCCATTGTAGCAGGACATTTTGGCCATATGATGGGTTTGCTCCATGGGAAAAATGTTTAAAAAGCTAGATTGAAGCTTGCCAAGCAAATAAACCAAAGAATAAGATTTGAGACTTTAAAAAAATAGAGTTTTTAAGTTAAAAAAAAAAGATTTCCCCAATGGGATGCCAAAGGATTGTGACTTACTGGGGTAGACTGAAACTCACTAATTAACATCTTTAGCAAAGGATGTAGAATCATTTCTTTCTCAGCTCATGGTGAAAAGTTGGGTCCTACTTCTTTTGTGTGGGTCTCCAAAGGGCGAAAAACATTGAGATGAGATTTGCAGATGTTTGCAGGATGCAGTGGAGTCAGGGAGCTCTGTGTAATCTTTCCTTTGGGCGTGCACCTCAAGCTAACTGCACGGATGTGACTATAAGGTGTGCAAGGGTTGAAAGCAGTCCTCTGCTCATTTAGAGGGATTCATTATCAGTGTGGATGGAGACAAGAACAGTTTGTTCCTCATTCCAAGTGTCAAACTGCTGACCTCTGATCATCACAATACCTTCCCTGATGACCTCTAGCTGGCCTGTTTGTTGGGAGGAATGAACCATGTCAGGAAACTTTTAGTCATGTCAGTGGATTCAGTTTTATGGCACTGGCTCTCAAAAGGTAGAAGGAGAAAAACGAGAACTCCACCCAGCGCATTATCCCAGATCCCTCAGATGTGTAATAATCACCTTAATATGAGGTGGCCACAGGACAAGCCCAAATACATTTTCCTCCTGACAAGTAACTTATCTATTCTAAATAAAAGGGCCTTGAAGATTTTTTTTTTCTCCTGCTTGCTGTTGCTTTTAAAAGGCTTGCTAGCACACTGAGTGCAGGAGCTATCTAATACGTGGGGGTGGGAATTGTCTTCACTTGGCCTTTGCATCTCTTGAAGGGGAGAATGAGTAAACAGAGTTGTGTGACCCGTTTGAAGGTACATTTGCAAAACATACTGTATCGACGATGATACAGTGTCAAAGACAGCAATAATTAGCTAAGCGTAGGCTCATTTTTGGACTATTAAAAATAAAGTAAAATTCAGAAAACAATGACAATGTCGATCAACTATTTAAAAAGATATATATATATATATATATATGATTTTCTGTAATGTTAGCAGTTTAGATATTTAAGGACTCTTTGTAGAGTAGTTTTGAACTTCAGGAGATGAGAAGACTTAGGCTTATTCCTTCACTATATAAAAAGTGGATGAAGAAATGAGAGTTCTTTTTTTTTTTTTTTTTTTTTAAGTGTGAGTTGTTAACATGAGTGATGCTTAATACAGTTTGAGCATGAATTTTGTGCCCTGCTTCAACTTAAAAAGATTTTGAGACTATCTAAAGAATTATCTGAAGTATCTTTATAGTCTATAAAATCTAAATTTGGCTCTTAGTTGCCAACGTGAAACTCAAAGTGGGACTGTGCTTTCTGGTCTTTGAAATCTTGACTAAGACATACTTTTTCCTTTGTTAAAGAGAAATCTGAAGAAAATCTGAGGATCAGTATGAAAATAATCTTTTATGAAAAAGATAGAACAAGGAAGATAGCACACTTCTAAGCAGGAGGATATTCAAAGTTAGACTCGTGCTTGCCAAGCAAATAAACCAAAGAATCAGAGTTGAGATTAAAAAAAAAATAGGATTTTTCGATTAAAAAAAAACAAGATCTGCCCAATGGGATGCTCCAAGGACTATGACTTCCTGTTTCCTGGGATAAATTGAAACTGGATAATTAACATCTTTAGCAAGGAAAGTAAAATCTGATGATTTCTTTCTTAGCTCAGTGTGAACAATTTGGATCTATTTCTTTTGTGTGAGTCTCCAAAGGGTGAAAATCACTGGAAAGAGATTTTCAAACATTTCTAGGATGTAATAGAGCCCAGGAGCTCTGCGTAGTCTTTCCTATGGGTGTACACCTCAGACTAACAGCATGGACGAGACCAGAAGGTGTGCACGTGTTGAGAGTGGGCCTCTGCTGATTGAGAGGGATTCATTATCAGTGCAGATGGAGACAAGAAAGGCAGAAGGTCAAGAAGTTGTTTAACTGAAATGTTGTCCTGTGATAAATAATTCAGTGGCAATATTGAGTATTTTCTAAACACAATGAGTAATGCCTCAGTTTGTATAACAAGTGTCATAGATTCTAAAATGAGTAAGACAGGCTCCTTGATCTCATGGGGTCTCGTTGTGTCAGAGGAAACAGATGCACATCCCATAGTTGAGATTCATGAAGAACACGTGTTCCTAGCCTGGGAAGCATGGAAGAGAGATAGACAGTATGTTATTCCTGCAAGGGACACCATGATTCTACTGTGATCTATAAAAACCAGAAGTCCAGGCCCGACAACTGGTTACTAGCAGTGAGGTGACCATGTGTTCCTAACCTGGCAATAATAATTTGTGTTCATAGAGCACATTATCCTTTTCAAAGAGCTTTACTAGACATTATCTCTTTTGACCCCCTAGTCTGTGCAGTATATTTTCAAACGTGTGTCTAAGGAAGTAGTGGCACAGAGAAGGTAAGCAGCTTGGATAAGCGTAACTAGTTACTGAGTGGTGCCCTGGGCTCAGGCCCCAGGTCTCCTTGCTTTCTCCAGTCCTCTAGTGGGAGAAAAATTGCCCTTCACTTCCCAAAATCTGTGTAGTGCTATGTTGATTTCCTGGGATATTTATTTGTAGTATATAAAAGGAGGTTTTGAACCAAGTTAGATTATTTTCTCATTCTTCAACTCTCAGCCATAACTAAAGTCACTTCTTCAGAGACTTCCCTGGACCACCAAACCCCATAGTGTGCAGTCTTGAAATCCTCTGTGCTTTCAACATCAGCAAAAGTTTGTCATTTGCCATTTGTGTCATTATTTGGTTAATGTCTCTGTCCCCTATCTAACTGTAATCTCCCTGAGACAAGGGACCTTTTCCATGTCTCAATATTTATGCTCCGCAGTTAGTGCCTAGTACACAATAGCCACCAAAGAAGTTTCCTGAAGGAATGACTATATTTAGGGTTTGTTCCTTATTTTCATTCTTCCTTTTGTTGTCATTGTTGTTGTTATAGGCTACCCAGCATGTGAGCAACTTACTTGTGCCAGTGGAGCCTGCTATAACACTAGTCAGAAGTGTGATGGGAAAGCTGATTGCAGGGACTTTTCTGATGAAGTCAACTGTAGTAAGTAATGTGCACAAGATGTGCAGTGGTAAGCTAAAACTGGTTTACACCGGCTTGAGAGAGAGCCAATTATGTTTGTCTTTTCCCAAGCCTGTGTTCAGTGGACTCATGCTGGTAGTTTGAAGTTAGCCACTGGTGGGAGTATTTACACTATGGAAATTGGCAAACACCACAATCAAGCTGTTTTGTTCCTGAAGAACTGGTTGTTAAACATTCACCAACACATACTAACAATAAGAATATTTTTAAAACTTAAGATAGAATCTTTCTATGGCTACAAGGGAATTTAAATTCTCTCTTTTCTTTCCCTTCTTAACCCTTTTGCCAGGTGCGGTATGCATGCACAACGAGTTTCGGTGTGGCAGTGGAGAATGTATTCCTCGCTCTTATGTCTGTGACCATGCCAGTGATTGTGAAGACAACAGTGATGAACATTCTTGCAGTACGGTGATTTCCTTATGATGGGACATATTGTTGGGAGTGATTTATTTGTTTGTTTTCCCACCAATGTACCACTATTTTTCCAAATAAAAGTCACTATGTTTGATGGCAGATGGAGCCAGAAGATCATTTAGAGGCCAAGTTATGAGCCTTGGAAATATTGCTGCATCTGAGCTCCTTTATCTGCCAAGGATCTGTGTAGGAGTTGAAGGGTGGTTGACGGACACTTTGCATTCTTTCCTAAGGCTACCAGGGTACAGTGTATATTGTATCGCTGGACTCTCAGATTACCCATACCTCAGGAATGGATCTGATAACCTTGATAGAGTGAGAGAAGGACTTGAAAGGGAAGGTAGTTCCCTAATAGCAATGATCCTAATTTGCCTCTTTGCTTTGAAATTCCTACCACATTAAAGTTGAAAGGTCTGGAAAATTTCAACATGGTATCAGTGGCTTTCATTGACTCCACTTCTTCACTCTGACCTTAATTTTATTTTCATTTTGTTGCCTGCAATATAAACTACCTCTCTTTTGTTGTCATCTCTCAACCCAGTTTTTTGAATGTGTAAAGTTAGATGACTCCAGGACAGAGTTTTACTAAATCCAATAAGCTAGTGGCTTTTTGTGGTCATTCATCTACTAGAATGTATGATTTTTCTCCACATCTATTTTCTATTTTGATAGATTGGTACCCTTGCAATGGGGATTTGTTAAATATTTTCAGTATCACTGTATTTTCTATGAGCTGTGCCCTGGGGATTTCCTTTCTAGAATTTGAACTTATAGCAGCAAACTGTATTAAAGGAAATGTGATATATCATGGAGTGACTGACTCTGAATCATGTAGCCCCAGACAACGATGACAATGCTTCTAGTAAAGTAAGAGGATGTTGGACACTGACATGTGTATAGCATCTTTTTTTTAAAAAAGAATTATTTTATTTAACGATTTATTTTTATTTATTCATTTGTTTTAATTTGACCAGAGGAACAGAGTAAGAGAGAGTGAGACAGAGAGAAAGAGAGAGAGAAAGTGAGAAAGCAAGCCACCAGGTCCTGGACTTGAACTGCAGTCAGCCATGTGGGAGTCCAGTACCCCTACCTACCATGCCACCTGCCGGCCTCTGTCTATAGCATCTTTTTTTTCTTTTTTTTGAAGAGGTTTTTGCTATAGGGTGCGTGTGCTCGTCAGAAAGACAGAGAGACAGGGAGACAGAAAGTGAAAATCATCCCCCAGGGGTGGATGGCCACGCCACAATCCCTTCTCCTCCATTCTCCTCTTGTGATCTTGTCACGCACACGTGCCCGGCGTGAGTTTTAAGCCACCGGGTCTGGGACACGAACCACGGTGGACTATGTGGGAGGCCAGCGACATAAGCATTACACTAACTGCTGGTCCCTCTATAGCATCTTTATCAGCCTGCATTCTCTATTCTGCATCAGCCTAGCACATGCCATCTTTTTTTATTTTTCCATGTTTCTGTATTAGCACCTGTTTACAGACTATAATTTAATTTAAAAAGACTTCTTCTATTCCAAAGGATCCAAGCTCACCCCTGAGGAAGAAGGGGGAAGGAAATAAACCCATCCCCCAGCAGAGTCAATTGCACTGCAGCCTTTTTACCTCCAGTTCTCCATCCTGTCAGGATCCTTCCGGACATGCATGTTTTTCTAAAGCTGTTGGGGCCGGGACTGAAATCTTGGTTGGTCACATGGGATCTGGTGTCCATGGCACAGTGCCTAACAGTGTGCTATGGGCTGCCCCCATCTTGTTTTTAATTTTGAGTAACAGAGACTACCACCAAAACATTTTCTGGATCCAAAGCTGCTATTAGTCTTATCCTCCTTCTGTTCTTTTCTCATTTTCCTCTTCTTTTTAAATGTTTTTGTCAAGATACTTAAGGGATTAAATTGTTATAGACGATTTAGTTAGTTTTAGATATAGTGAGGTGAGCACTTTGATTTTTTGCAAGTGATTTGTGTCTTTGGAGTGCAGCTGTTGTTTTTTTCCAGACTATCAGTCCTGCAAAGGGGAACAGTTCACTTGTCCCAGTGGCCAGTGCATTCACCAGAACTGGGTTTGTGATGGAGAGAATGACTGTAGAGATAACGGAGACGAAAAAGGATGTGGTAAGAAGGGGAGCAGATTCCTATTGGAAACCATTTTCTAAAACTGTGTTTGAGAATTTTTTTTCCCTTGTTAGAAATGTTCTGTACGGGATTGGCTGGTTTAGGGAGCTTTTTAGGGACTTGGTGGGGAAGAAGAAAGTGACTGTATTTGCTTTTCCTTAAAAGATTCAGGACGCAAATGTAACATAATTTATAACCTCCTCTTTCCTGTTGTTAAGGCTAAATAGGCAGGACAGTTCACATCCCACTCTGATTCTTTCCCTTGGAGACTATTTTAACTGCATTTGCGTCTATGAGAGGACGTTGGGGCAGGAGGGAAAACATGGTTTGTCTTAAACCTTACAGCCTTTAAAATGACGTTTAGTTTTGGTAACACTTTATTTTTTTTTTTTTTGCCAATTCTGATTTTCAGATGAGTCACTGACATCCAGTGGTAAAAGAGAGGCTATGAGAGGAACGTGTGGGGTGCAGATGAGTCACTGACATCCAGTGGTAAAAGAGAGGCTATGTCAGGAACGTGTGGGGACGAGTTAGGGACGGGCAAGTGCAGGGCAACCTACTACCCGGGGAAGTGTTTTAAAGATGATGTGAGAAAGAAATCACATGTAGATTCACCCCTTCATGCTGCTGTCATTAACAGTACCTCCAGCAGTTCAGAAGTTCCTCTACCCACATCATACTGACATCCAGTGGTAAAAGAGAGGCTATGTCAGGAACGTGTGGGGACGAGTTAGGGACGGGCAAGTGCAGGGCAACCTACTACCCGGGGAAGTGTTTTAAAGATGATGTGAGAAAGAAATCACATGTAGATTCACCCCTTCATGCTGCTGTCATTAACAGTACCTCCAGCAGTTCAGAAGTTCCTCTACCCACATCATAAAACAAGTCACCTGTACCGTTCAGTCAGATATAATAAGGACGATGCTTATTCTGGGACTGTCAACTGGTTTTATGACCTGTGTTCCAGGAAGTGGTCGGTCTTTCACTTCCTGGGTAACAAACATTTTGCCAAATAAACAAAACAAATCAACCAACCAAACCCCAAACTGAGGAGTCCTGGAGTTAACTTGGTGGCCCTAGTTCTGTAATACATGCTTTTTATTTTTCTTTAATTTGCTAGAGGACACATGCTTTTGCCAAAGCAAGATAAAGAGAAGGAAAGTGAGAAAGCAACGCCCATGGAGGATGTTCACACCATGATCTCTTCTCCATTTCTCCTGCTGAGATTTTTGGCATGGAAACACACACACCTGAGGTGTTTCTCAAGCTGCTGGGCTTGGGACTCAAACTGTGTGGTTGGCTATGTGGGATCCTGCCATCTTAACTACCATGCCACCATCTGGCCCCGTGATTGGTGATTTAAATAACTGAATCCTCTGCAAGGGGTTATAAATCTAATAGTTGTTAATTCCAGCCCGTATCTGCTTGAATGGCAGCTGCTTCATGTAAAAGGAATGGAACTTAAGTCATTCAATTTTACCACTCCTTAGAATCTCAGTAAAAGGCTAGGGATAGAGTTAGAAGCTACTAATTTATAGGAAAATATGAAGTCATTTAGATTTCTGGTGTATACCTGGCCAATATTCCTTCTTAACCATGGATTAAAAAAGAGCTGACTCCACCTCTTATATGACTTGTAAATATATGTTTTTTTCTCCCCACAGAAAGCAGTTCTCATCATTTTCATAATTGTTACCCAAGGGAATGGGCTTGTCCAGAGTCTGGCCAATGCATCTTAATATCTAAAGTTTGTGATGGGATTTTGGATTGTCCAGATGGAGACGATGAAAACAGTACCACTGCTGGAAAATATTGTGGTGAGCATAAAAATGTATCTGGTTAGCTTTTAGATAAAGGTACTTCTATTTTTTTTGAGAAGAGACTCTCAAATACAGATATATCAGTTGGTGTTTATAAAACGAACTATCCTAAGACCTTGTGGCTTAATCCAACCTACATTTATTATTTTTTACGGTTCTGTAGACTGGCTATACTCACATTTCAGGATGTTGCAACTGATATCTCTTGATGGGAGGAGCTTAAAAAAATTTGTGCCCCACCCTTCTTCCTACAGCAAATAAATACAGAAAGAGCTGTTTTAATGGCAATTTTGATGACTCTAAAAGTACTCTGGAGACATAATGGAAATATTCCCTGGCTTACATTTCTGGAAAAAGTTCTTATTTGGCTATCTTAAAGGAGAAAAAACTTCTGCTTCCTGGGTTGTGTGCTTTGAGTTATTTTTCAATGGCAAAATTAACTTTCTCATGCATAGTTTTATTTGAAAATGTCTTGTATGACCACTCTCATATGTGAGTAGACTGACTGGACTTAGGTTGTTTTCTTTTTTGTGACTATATAATATTCCTCTCACCATTGACTCATCAACAGCTGATTGATGAAGGAATGTAGTATATGACTGATTTCATCTATAGTGGACTCTAAATTAGTAGTTGCCCATATAGCTTTAATTCCAAATTTATTCCCCTCCCTGGAAAATCTTTTAATATTTAAATATGCAGACTTTTTTTTTCTTCAAACTTTGCCAGAGAGTGCATATGCCTGCCTGAGAGAGACAGAGAGGGAGAAGAGAAAGCACTCCCTAATTGGCATGGCAATGCCACAATACCGCCTCCTCCATTGTTTCATCCTATTGAGGTTTTGGGCACTCACATACCCACTCATGGCATTGTGTTTTAAGCTATTGGGGCCAGAATTTTTTTTTTTAAGAATTATTTTATTTATCATTTGTTTGTTTCAATTTGACCAGAGAGGGACAGAATGAGAGAGAAAAAGTGAGAAAGCAAGCCGCCAGGTGTGGGACTGAAACCACAGTTGGCCATGTGGGAATCCAGCACCCCCAACCACCACACCACTTGCCGGCCCCAGGGGCCAGAATTTGAACCAGGCATTTGGCCATGTGGGATCTAGCTCACCTAATGGCTAGGCCACAGATGGGCTGGCCCCCAAATATAGAGACTTGTATTGCATTCTTTTTTAAAAAAAATTCATTTGAGAATAACTTTAAAAAGAAGCTTAAAAATTAACATGAGATATTTAGCAGAAGTACAAAGGTTAGAAAATAAAAATTAACAGAAAGAAAGTAGATCACCTGAACTCCTACCACTTTTGAAGCTAGTCATGGTTCCTTTTTTTTCGGATAGGATCTCACTGTCTCCCACTGCTTTGATCCTCCTGTCTCAGCCTCCCAACTGGAACCACAAGTGTACACACCGTGCTTGGTTCTTTTGAATTCTAGACGGTGTCTCATCATGTTCCCTAGACAGCCTAGAGCTTGCAGTCCTCCTACCTCTGCCCCTTGAATCTGGGCTCACAGGTGCATGCCACCATGCTGGTGTTTAAATTGGATCAAGAATAATTCCTGGTCCTCTCATGTGGTCCCAGCTTACAGAGCACAGCCTCTGCACAATGTCTGCACAGTGGTATGTACCACTGAGGCTGGGCCTAGACATGGCTGTGTTTTTAGGGTATATTCCCAGGTCAGTAACTTGGAAGTTCCTAGCCTCTTCTACTATGTGGACATAAAGAACATATAACCCGGTTTTTCCATAAATAGATCTGGTAATAACTTGTACACAGTTATAACTTTGAAAAAGTTGAGTTTTATTGCAGTAAGGTTTGAGTGGAGGCAGATTTTTCTGTATCTCTACTCTATACTTATATTTTACTGGTGGAAAAAGAAGCGATTAGGTAAATCAGTCTTGTCCAGAGATCACCATTCATTTAACCAAGTCCCCCCCTCCTCCTCCTGTTTAGGTCTGACCATGTGTTCTGCTTTGAACTGTGAGTATGAATGCCATAAGACGCCAGGTGGAGGGGCATGTGTATGCCCCCCCGGTTATATCATCAACAAGAATGACAGCCGTACCTGTGTTGGTAAGTGACAGGTGGGAGCCCCTGGGTTTTCTTCACAGTGCACTGATGAATTCCATGATCTTTGACATCAGAAAGTTTGTACTTGTGGGTCAGAGTCTGTTCCTCAGTGTTGCTGAGAACTAGAATGGTGGGGCTCATTTACCTATCATAGGCCAACTGCCCCCCACCCTGGATTTTCTTATCTAGTAAAACAATCCAATTGAGGTTGGATTGTGGTGTTCAGAAAAGGTAATTTACGTTTTAATATCAGGGTCATGTCCCAAGCTCATGATCTAATTGCTCTTGTATCTGACCAGAAATGTTAAGATCAAATGATTTATACCAGTCAACGTGAGAGATCCTGGAGACAGGATCTGAATTATTTAAGCTCCTAATTTCTAATAATTTCAAAATATTTTAGAAATAAAACATGACTGGCATGTTTATGAAAATCCTCATTTGTCAGGTGAGCTTCTGACTCAGGGGCGCAGGCACTGGCATCCCTGCCAGTGCTTCCTGGCGTTCCTTCCAGGGCAGCAGCCCCTGTTCCCCCGGTGATGTGTCTCTGTGGGTGTGAAGCTGTTCCTTTGTCTTTGGCAAATGTCAAGCTTTTCTAACCGCCCCACCATCCCCACCCCCCGTGCCTCAGCTGGCAATCCAGTTTCCAGTCTTTTAGTTCTCTAGGCATTTCCCATTTTTCTTACTAGAAAAGGAATTCCGTAGAAATACCAGAAGCGCCAATCTCAGTATTACATCAGTTTTTCTCTTTTTTTCCTTTCTCAATGCGAAGGAGGCTCTGGGGCTGAGCTGCCTTGCGATCAAAACTTGTTAGGCCGTGAAGTCTTTTTAGTACAAGTGACCTGTTCTTTCAGTAGCCCTAGTTCGGCCTTGTGATGCCCCACGAGCTACTCTCAGTCTTTTTTCTTACCCTAGAGTCCAAATAGCATATTTCCCACCATTTCCAACTAGTAAGTCTGTGATGAGCCTTGGGTTATATCTTTAAGTATCTAGAGCTCTTTAAATGTCAGAGGTTTGCAGCCCCTTAAGAAATGAAAAGGTGTTGGGACCAGCAGTTAGCATAATGGCTATGTCATTCGACTCCCACGTGCGTCCCGGACCCGGTGGCTTAAAAAAAACTCACACTGGGCACGTGTGCGTGTGTGCCCAAGATCCCGAGAGGAGAATGGAGGAGAAGGGATTGCGGTATGGCCATCTCCCTCGGGGGGTGATTTCTCACTTTCTATCTCTCTGTCTGGCGAGCACACGTGCCCTATAGCATTAAAAAAAAAAAAAAAAAAAGAAAAAAGAAAAAAAAAAAGAAAAGGAGTTATAACACAGTTCTTGTGCTTTAAAATTTTATATTTAACTTCATGGTGTAGTGGTTAAGGTGCTGGACTCCCACATGTGGTTTGAGTCCCGGACCTAGTGGCTTGCTTTCTCACTTTCTGTCTCTCTCTCTGGTGAATTAAATAAATAAATAAATAAAATAAAAAAAATTAGATATTTAATGTATCAATGAAGATAATAAAAAAGTTGCATTATTAACTTGTGCACAAGACAGTTTCAGAATTTATTGAACATATCCAGTTCATAGCACACTGGAAGTAGTGTTCAATACTGGGCATTAGATTAAAAAAATTGTTTTTTAAATGTTGCTTGAGGCCATGTATGTTCACTGTTGAGAGGGCAGGGGAAAGAGACAGAAAGAGAGAGAGAGAGAGAGAGAGAGAGAGAGAGAATGAGAAAGCACCCTAGGGGATGGTCATGCTGCATCCCCTCTCCTCTGTTTCTTCTTTTGGGATTTTGCGCACACATGTGCAAGTGCTCAGCGTGTTTGCCTATCTGCTAGGTCTTAGACTTGAACCACACAATTGGCCATGTGGGATCCAACTACTTTAATCACCAGACCACTAACTGGCCCTGGGATGCTAGTTTTAAGTTCTGTTAAAGACATCTTCTTTCTTTCTTTGAGCGATTTTTGTTACAGGGCATGTGTGTTTGCTGGAGTGAAAGAGAGACAGAACGGGAGAAATCACCACCCAGGGGGGTTGGCCATGCCACAATCCCCTCTCTTCCATTCTCCTCTCGGGATCTTGAGCACGCATCTACTTGCACCCAGCATGAGTTTTAAGTTGTTGGGATTTGAGCTGTGATTGACTACTTGGGAGTCCAGCGACGTAACCATTATGCCATGTGCTGGCCCCAAAGACATCTTTCAGTCCTTGCAGTCTGTTTCTGAAACTTCAGTATAGACAACCTCTTTTGGCAATACGGTCAAAAGTCCACATTTAAGGGACCAGCAGTTAGCGTAATGGTTATGTCACTGGACTCCCATGTAGTTGTCTGTGGGTTGAGTCCTGGACTCGCTGGTTTAAAACTCATGCCGGGCACTTGTGTGTGCATGCCCAAGATCCCGAGAAGAGAATGGAGGAGAAGGGATTGCGGCATGGCCATCCCCCCGGGGGGTGATTTCTCACTTTCTGTCTTTCTGTCTCTCTCTGTCTGTCTGGCTAGTGCATGCGCCGTATAGCAAAAACCTCTCAAAAAAAAAAAAAGTCCACATTTAAGGGCCCTTGTGAATGTGAGGCCCCTGCCAACTGCAGAGACCTTTTATGTGACCTTCCCTGTCCTTCAAGAATGTGTCATTTGGCCCTGAGAGTTGAAGCTGGGTTAACATTTTTGCACATATGTTTCAAAGAAGATTTCATTTTTATCTCTTGTAAAGAAGACTCTAGTTTAAATATAGGACATTATGAAATGAGTTAGTTTGCATAAGCTGAAGTGAAAAACTAGTTACATTTGCTTAAGCCGAAGTGAAATTTTAGGGGAATTATTTTGATTTGCTCTCTCAAACATTTTAATTCAACAAATACCCTTGGTAAGGCTGTAACCTTGTGATAAGTTGCCTCACAAAAACTTCAGGAGTTGGAAACCTAATGCTACATTTCTCATCTTAGACTTGGCTTCTCAGAGCAGGCCTCAGTAGTACTCAATAATAAAATTGAATAATCCTGGCACAGAATCTTGTGTCTTGCAACCATTCATCTGTCCTGGTAGTCCTGACCTGCAGTGGAACCTCTGAGGCATACTGAAGCAGTTTGCTGGGCTTATTGTCTCGGATTGACAGGACATGCTGTTTGTTGACAGAATGACATCATGGTATAGAGTCAGGGTGGGAAGGTCATTCAACATGGCGGGCTTTCACACAATTAGCTGGATCAGAGGTGTCCAAGGGAGTTCAAGCTAAAAAAGGAGTTTTGAATTATTTTCAAAGCATTATATTTTGATAGGGGGACAAAGAATAAAAGTGAAGGAAAAATAAAAGTAATGGGGTTGGGGGGAATTTGTTACAGTAGAGTTTCAGAGTTTTGTATAGTTTCCACTACCCTACTCTCGTGAAAAGCCTCAATTCTACTTTGATTTTTCTGTCTTCACTTTGGCTGATCTTGGGTATTAATGTCTTCATTTATCTCTGTAGCAGCCAAGAGGATACAGTTGTATTCAGTCAGTGAAAGTGATAGCAATTTTATACTCATTGGAAGCTTTAAAGCACTTGTAAGGCAGGTAATTGGAAGGGTGCATTTGTCTTGGGTGTGGCGTTTCCACCTTTGGTTCCCTTCTGGTAGAGATTAGAACTCCTTTGTCCAGAGGGACTCCAGATCCTGTCTCATGTGTCTTGTATTCAAAATGCGGTCATGATATCTAGGATTTGAGGGTAGATGTCCGGCATTTTTATTCCTACTGGGGTGATGCCTCAGGTGGAGCTTTCTCAGAGCTGAGGTGAAGGCACAGGAGCCTTTCATATTTACTACATGAATTTTTACTTTGCCATGTCCAGATTAGATTGATTCCCCCCTCACCCCATTTGGTTAGTTACATCCCTTGAAAAGTATGATATATTGACTCACGTTCTTCTGTTTGATCTGAAGGGACAACTAAAGCCACTCATTTGATTCCAGAGCCAGTCTGGGCTTTTGTGTGTTTTTTTTTTTTTTTTTTTTTTTTTTTTTTTTTTTTTTTGTTTTTGCTTGTGTGCGCTCACCAGAAAGACAGAGAGAAACAGAGAGACAGAAAGTGAGAAATTACCCGCTAGGAAATATGGCCATGTCATAATCTCTTCTTCATTCTCCTCTCGAGATCTTGGGCACGCATCCACATGTATGTGGCGCGAGTTTAAGCCACCAAATCCGGGACTCGAACCATGGTCGACTACATGGGAGTCCAGTGACATAGCCATTACACCAATTGCTGGTCCCCAGTCTGGGCTTTTCTAGTTGGGGAGATATGACATGGTGGGCCATCTAGCAAGTGCGATAGAGTCCAATTCACAGCTCTGATATTTGCTGCAAATGTAATCTGGTCCTATGAGGCTGGAGAATTGTAGACTTGAGGATATAATAGTTTCAGAAATTGTAAGCTTTTGAGAATTTTTTAAAGCCAGAGAGCATGGGAACCCCAGTAGGGGTGCGGAGGTCATTCCTTCAGGGAAGAGAGCAGGGTGAAGGATGATGGAGAGCTGATGTGATCTTAGAGGGTCAAATGAAAGATATTTGACACCAATCTGCCAAGGACAGGGCAACATATGTACTCCTCAAGCTCTCCAGTCTTTTTTTTTTTTTTTTTTAATTTCTTTTTTTTGGAGAGGTTTTTACTATAGAGCGTGTGTGCTCGCCAGCCAGCCAGAGAAACAGAAAGCGAGAAATCACCCCCCAGGGGGGATGGCCACGCCACAATTCCTTCTCCTCCATTCTCCTCTCGGGATCTTGGGCATGTATGCACACATGCCCAGCATGATTTTAAAGCCACAGGGTCCGGGACATGAACCATAGTGGACTACATGGGAGTCCAGCAACATAGCCATTAACGCTAACTGCTGGTCCCAAGCTCTCCAGGCTTAAGGGAGATGCTTTTAAAAATGTTGTGCTCTCAGGACCAGCAGTTGGTGTAATGACTGTGTCTCTGAACTCCCATGTAGTTGACTACAGGTTGAGTCCTGGACCTGGAGGCTTAAACTCATGCCAGGTACGTGTGCGTGTGTGCCCAAGATCCAGAGAGGAGAATGGAGGAGAAGGTGTTACGGTGTGTCAATACCTCTGGGGAGTGATTTCTTGCTTTCTGTATCTCTCTCTCTCCCTGTCTTTCTGGCAAATGCATGTACCCTATAGCAAAAACCTCTCAAAAAAAAAAAAAATTGATGTAGGGCACATGTGGTCATCAGAGACAGAAAGTGAAAAAGCAACTCCCAAAGGGGATGGCCATGCCTCAATTCTTTGTCTTTCATTCTCTTAGGATTCAGGGGGCATGCAAGCACATAATCCTTGGTGTGTTTTTTAAGCCACCGGTCTGGGACTTGAACCACAGTGGCCATGTAGGATTCAGCCACCTTAACCAGCTCGCTCTATATTGAAACTTTTTATGCAGTAGAACTGAGGCTTCTGTGGCAACCAACACAGCTCTTATTAAACAAATGAATATTAAGTTAATGAATAAGAAGAGAAATAAATTTTTATGTCTTGAAGACAATTTTAATTTTAATTTTTTGACATCAGAGGAGAGATGGTGGGGCAAACAGACCTTTTCAAACATTCTATGGCAGACATAGAATTTGTTTCTTCTTGAGGGGAAGGATATATGCGCATGTACTGAATTCTGAAATTGTGCTGTCCAACAGAACTTTCTGAAATGATGTAAATGTTTCATATTGTCCCTCTTTACTGTGGAAACCCATAGCCGTGTGTGACTATTAAGCACTTGAAATGTTGCAATTGTGACTTTGGAACTGAAGTATTTGTTTTTTAAATTTAATTAATCTAAAAATAAATTTAGATGGCCACTGTGGGCTAGTGGCTATCATTGGAAAGTACAATTCTAAAAAACTGGGAGCTGGACAATGGCAGAGGTAAAATGCAGTGCTCATGTAAGAAGAGTATAAGACTTTAGGTTTGTGTTGGAAGACCTCTCAAAGTAAGCCTGGCATGGCCCAAGATCTAGGGGTGGCTAAGGCTGGAGGTGGATCATGGTATCAGACTCCGTCAGGGATACTATCTCTCTTTCTCTCTATCTTTGTCTTTCTCACTCATTGGAGAAATAAATGAACTTTTTTTTTTTTAAAAAGGAAGCATTTATACGGAAATTCATGTTTTCATACCCACATTAATAAATGACATACAATGCCATAGTTTTATGGATCAAACCATGTTATGCATCTTCTATGGTTACCCTTCATGTAGATTCTTAAAAATGATCTAATTGTTCTAGAGCTTTCCCTTGGATGAAGGTGCCTATTCTGAATTCCCATTTATCGTATGTGTAGATCCGCTGTCTAGCTCCAGGGCATGCTTATGTAGAAACAGGCACCACCATGTTCCTGGACATCCTGCCTGGATTTTTGTCAGAAATACTAAGGAAATGCTGGTAAACATGATTATAAACGTGTGTGTTTTTGTGTGGCAGCATTTGATGACTGTCAGATATGGGGAATTTGTGACCAGAAGTGTGAGAATCGAGGTGACCATCACCAGTGCCTCTGTGAGGAAGGCTACATCCTGGAGCACGGGCGGCATTGCAAAGCTAATGAGTCCTGTGAGTAAATTGTAGATACTTACATCACTGAACCATGACTTCTAATAGACTCCTTCCCTGCCAAAGGCAAAAGGGGTATTAGGGCATGCTCTCTACTGCCAGGACGAATGGTCAATGTTAATTTCATACTTTGATTACTAGTGATCAATTTGTGGATTAATGGGATCATTATTTATTTATTTTTTATTAGTTGCTTGTTCACTTCAGCCTAGGCTATTACATCACCCACCACATGTAATGGTGGAATAAATTTTATGCTTATATTTGACTAACTTGGACATTTAATTTTAATTAATTTATGTATTACAAATGTAGGTGACAGCTATCTATAGAAATCATTTTGGCATTGTTCATGCAAAACTCAGGGATCTTTCAAAATGGATGCTAACTTTGGATTATAATTTGTGTGAGTCGCTTCTTTCTGCTCTGTTGGAACTGATCTCAGAGTACTGTCATAGGGGAAAGTCATGGGAGAAATCTGCTCATATACGATGAGCCCTTCAGAGCAGTTTGTAATATAAAATTTCTAGATCAGAAGGTTTTAATCTAAGTTCCTTTTCAGTTATTATTTCACACTTGGTTTTGAAATGTCATTGGTGCCTTCTAAAATTTAACTGCTCACGTGAAGGATGAGTGGTCCATTTTTTAGTTGATTTTATATAGAAATACCTGATTTGCTGTGTACTGACTTTTACGTAAAGCTGACATCTAACAATTCAATTTATTTTTGAGTAGGTAATATATTCATATGTTGAAAAATATTAAATTATAAGAAAATGTGTGAGTAGTAAAATATGTCCCTCCATCCTAGTTGCCTTCTTGCTGGTTTACCACTTTCGCTCTCTTACCGGTGTTGGCTGTTTTAAAATTTCAGTTCCAGGCTTTTAAATGAGAAAAAAGAATGTACAAATAGAGATATTTAAGTCTGTATATGGAAAAATATATTCCTTAAGCATCTGTAAAAATGGGTAGAATGATAGCTCTGCCTCAGAGGCTGAAGTCAAATAAGTTGACATAGAAGGCGTTGAGAAAGTGAGAAAGAGCACCCGTAGTAAGTTATTGCACCATCTTTGCTCATCTCTTTCACCCCCTTTTCACCTTTAGCTGGCAAGCCCTCCATTCTCTTTTCCAATGGTTGGGATTTGCTAATTGGCGATATTCATGGAAGGAACTTCCAGTTCCTAGCAGAGTCTCAAAATCGTGGAGTGGTTGTGGGTATAGATTTTCACTATCAGCTGCGGAAAGTCTTTTGGACAGACACTGTGCAAAATAAGGTAAGTAGAAATTTCAGGAGCATAGCTTGGGAGCTGACAAGCACCAAGTGTTGATAGATTTTCATTTTTGGGGAGTAGAGGGGAAAGTTTCTTTGTTACCTAACAAAAAAGGCCCTTGAGATATTCTATGTTAATCAGCACCTTTTCCATGCTATACGATTACATGTGACCTATTAAACAAAGCAGTCTATTATATGGATTAGCCTTGAGCAACTTTTAATTTTATTCGAAGTGGAGTCCAAAAGCCTAATTAAAAGAAATAGTAGACATTCTTTCAAAACTGGATAGATATTTGTAGTAATTTTTGAAACATGATCACTTAAAATGTAAAAAGTACTCTGCTTTCCTTGATGATAAAAATCAGATTTTTACCTGCATCTTTTAAATGGAACTGTAATTGAGGATTGGGTAACAAATATTGACAACATTTTGTTCAATAGCCAAAATTTTGTTACATTGTCTTATTTGGAAAAAAGTGATGGATTTAATTTTGACTTAGAGACTCCCGAGGAGTTATGAAAATTTTTCTTTCTTTTTCATTTTTATACTATTAATAAAATTCTAATTCATTTAAATGATCACTTGCATAAACTTTGAAATATTAGCAGTTTTGGTTAGGTTATAGCAAAAACCCAAATTAACCACTACACCTCCAAAATATCCACATGCTTTGGTAGCTATTGAGGATGGAAAATACAGCCTTTTTGTTTGGTTTTGTTAAGCCAACTCTTATCACACAAATTTATACGTATATATATATAATACACATACAAACGCACATACATACACATACAAACACATGCTCACACACACACACACACACACACACATTAAGGTTTTTGCTGTAGGGTGTGTGGGCTCACCAGAGAGAGACAGAAAGAGAGGGAAAGTAAGAAATCACCTCCGGGGGGGGGATGGCCATGCCACAATCTCTTCTCCTCCATTCTTCTCTTAGAATTTGGGCACGCACGCACATACGCTTAGTGTGATTTTCAAGCCTCCAGGTCCAGGACTCAAAACGCGGTTGGCCATGTGAGGATCCAGTGCCTTAATCACCACACCACCTGCTGGCCCCCTTATCACATACGCTTTTAAAGTAAACCACTTTACCTTTATGCATGGAAAAAATAGCAAACTTCTAGTGAAAAGCATTTTTAAAGATCCAGGTGATTCGCACAAAATAGCTAATGAACGAAGCGTAGAAAAACAGTGCCTGCAGTTAGTTACGCTTAAGAAGTATAATAATTTTGGTTCTTCTTTCAGGTTTTTTCAGTTGACGTGAATAACTTAAAAATCCAAGAAATTTTCAATATTTCTGTTGACGCGCCAGAGAACCTGGCTGTGGACTGGGTTAGTAACAAACTTTATCTGGTAGAGACCAAGGTCAGCCGCATAGATATGGCAAATTTGGATGGAAGCTATCCGGTGACCCTTATAACTGAAGACTTGGGGCATCCCAGAGGAATTGCCCTGGACCCCACTGTTGGGTGAGTGATGGGAAAACATACTGATTTCTGTATTTTTAGTTTTATCTCTTTCCTGTACATCAACATAACTTGGATTAATCGAAGGTTAATTCTGATTTCTTTTAGGCTCTGTACACTAGAACCAGGGTTATTTTGTGTCTCTGTTCATAGAAGCTCTAGAGAAGTTGACTAAATATAACTTCTTTTGAAGATTTGTAATCCAAACACACCTACTGGTGTACTAAAAATACTTTGTTTTGGGGGTATGAATTTTATATTTAGTATTTGTCACGTGTGCCTAGCTGAGATTGCTCTGTTATAACTCAATCTAATATTATGACTAAACATGGCTTATGTTTCACCATTGTTATGATGATCACTCTAACATGAATTAAGTGTGAAGTTTGTTGGTTTGTCTCAATTGCCAGCATGTGTGTGCACTTGTCAGAGAGAGACAGAAAAAGAGAGAGCGAGAAAGGGAGAAAAAGTATCCACTGAGATTTGGTCACTCTGCAGTCCTTTTCCCTCCATCTCTCCACACCATTTTGGCACACGTGCACATGCGTCTGGCATGTTTCTCATGAGGCCAGGATTAAAACCATGCTCAACCATGTGGGATCCAGCTCCCTCCACACAAGGCTTAAACACTCTGCTACAAGGCTGGCTCGTACTGCTATTTGGAGTTGTTGACTCTCCTGATTGGCCTTCACAGTCGCTGTTTTTGAAAAATACTTTTTTTTTTTTTTTCCCTTCTGTTACTTTATGTCCCAATTGTTCTCTAATCAGCTGGAGGAAATTTCCATTGATTCAAAAATTTCTTTTCTATCTAAAAACACGTTTTATCAGTAAACTTGTAAAATCACAGACTTTTTCTTTTGTTATTTTCTTTTGCAGTTATTTATTTTTCTCAGATTGGGCGAGCCTTTCTGGAGAACCTAAGGTGGAAAGGGCTTTCATGGACGGCAGCAACCGTAAAGTCTTGGTCAAAACAAAGCTGGGATGGCCTTCTGGGATAACTCTGGATCTGGCCTCAAAGCGTGTTTACTGGCTTGACTGCCGATTTGATTACATTGAAACTGTAACTTATGATGGAATTGAAAGGTAGGCAGTATTTTTATGGCTTTTTAAGATTGGGAGAAAGTTCATATGATGGAAGGAGAGGGATAGCAAATGGTCACAATTAAAATATTGCTTTGTTGTCTGACATGATAGCTTGAATGACCTTTGTGTTCACATTAGCATGAAGTGATCTGCTTTGAGTTCTGTTAACTTTTCTTGTGTTCCATAATAACACTTATTAAATATTACCTAGAGCTTTTGTTCCTTGGTTTTCCAGTTCAACCCTGCCCCCAGCCCTTGATGAAGCACACTATTTTTACTCATTCTTGAGTCTTTTCTCTGGATCCGTTGCTCTTTGTTTCCCAAGATCACTTTACCTTTTAGTTTTCTAACTTTCCTCCAGTAAATAAACTAGTTGTATTATTTATTTAACTTTATCCAATGAGAATTAACTGGATATACTTCAAATTTAAAAAGTAAATATTTATATTTTTACCTGATATCCTCAAAGATACTTAAACAATAATTTTTGAATGTAGAGCATGACATACTTTTTTCTTCATATTTTTAGTTTGATTAGCATTAACTACAGATTATTTAAATGATTAATTATTGAGTTGTTGGAAAAGTCATGACTATTTTTCTGTTTTACTGTGAAAAATGTGTCATGACTTATCCAATGACTCAGTTTTCAGATCTTCTCCTTCTGGTATTTTTAAAGGTAAAATATGTTTTTCAAATTTTGACCAGAAAAAATTACTTCTTATGGATTTAGCCTAGTTGCTAAATCCATTTAGTTTTTCCAAATGACTAGATTTTATTATTTTTCAATGAATAAAGTTATGATTTTGTTCTCTCTTGTACCTCTGTTTTAGAACGATAGTACCATAAATGGCCATTGTATTGCATGTTCTTAGAACAGTCTTTGACTAATTAAATGAAGTGATTAAGTATTAATACTACTATGACTGCTGTCACTGAAACTGGTTCTCATGTTGAGAATGTGAATTAATTTCATGAGAAAAAATTAGTCAACCTAAGTCATGTAAAAACAATTGTGAAGTTTCTTAAATTATTTTCTCTTCTAATGGGGACATTTAAGGGCTATACAGTCTCAATACTTTTATACTAAAGTTAAAGTACAACATAAAAGATAAAAATCAGTGAAGTCTTAGAAAGATTTGAGTGGCTTGCTGTCTGAAGGAACATCAAAAACATATTAAGCTTATGACTATAGCTAAAATCATAAAGCCATTGCCTCTTGCTTTGCCAGCAAGTGGCATTCAGGGTTTTGGAATTTGCTGTCAAAAAAGAAAGCCATTCTCTAATCTTTTTAAAAAAGAATTATTTTATTTAATTTCATTTATTATTATTATTATTATTATTTAATTTGACCAAATAGGGAGAGAGAGAAAGAGAAAGTGAGAAAAGCCACTAGGTCCAGGACTTGAATTGTGGTCGGCCATGTGGGAGTCCAGGACCTTTAACTACCATGCCACCTGCTGGCCCCTTATTTTCTAATTTTAATGTACCATATCATTATTGAGCATTACAAAGTGTGCACTAACCTTACGTTTCTTGATTTTTTTTTTCTTTTTAGTGTGTTTCATAGCTGTAGTATTTTCAAGTCTTTTAGAATTCTACCATGCTCCTTTGTTTTTAGGGGCTGTGACAATTTTTTTGTGAGGTCCTCCTGTTGTTCACAAACTATTTCTTCCTCTCTTTATTCATGTGTCTAACTGAATCACTTGGTGTACATGCAGTTGTGGGAGGTGCTGTGTGTTTTCTCTTGTTTATGCCTTTTACTTCTGCTTCCTTCCCTTGTAAGTAGCTGTAGGCTGTCTCTGCCTCCACTCCATGTCTGACCAGTTGACAATGCCATCAAGCAGCTGAATAACTGGGGTAGCAGTGCTTACAGTGACATCAAGAATAGGTCTGGGTGTTCGGTGCAGGTTGAGTTCTACCACTCACTGTCATGCTTCCCAGTTGCTGAGAAGTGGTCAGTGGGAAATAACTGTTAAAGGCATCTTCTAGACCTTTCTTACACTCTTCCATCATTGGAAATCAACATACCATTTTACATGTTAGCCTTTTATAAATGGGGCAACCTTAAAGGAATGAAGAGCAAATGAGAAAACAGTAAATTTCCACAAAAATTTAGAACAAGATAGTGGACTCAACAAGGCTAAAATTTAAGTCTCAAAAATCTTTTCTAAGAAACCACCTGAAAATCTTCCTTCAAATGTAGATGGAAATACACATGCATCTTAAAAGTTAACTTTTGTTTGTATTCTGTAACAAATTATGTATTTTTTAGGTATTTAATTCAAATAACTATATCTTTAATCAAAAATGGAGTAAAACGAACAAAAATTGTATGATATTCTTGTATCTTTTGTAACAGGAAGACAGTGGTCAGTGGAGGCTCCCTCATTCCTCATCCCTTTGAAATAAGTTTGTTTGAAGACACAGTGTTTTTTACTGACTGGACAATGATGTCAGTGATGAAGGCAAACAAATTTGTGGACACCAATCCACAAGTGTACTACCATTCTTCCGTAAGGCCCTATGGAGTTACTGTTTTCCATTCCCTCAGACAACCTTATGGTAAGTCCCAGAATAATGAATGCCCTGTTTGGTACAGATTTGGTAGAAAGGTTTTCTTAAAGCTATGTACATTAATGATGAGGGGTCTCATGAGTTTTGGGTATTATTCTAAAATAAATGAAAGGTTATCTAGAGTGTTAAGCCCTCTGAAATTGGCTTTGCAGATTTGGGGAATTCTGGAAAGAGTAATGTATTCTTAAGAGAGAAATTAGAGATTAATTTCATAGGTAACAGTGATATTTTAGTATCCTCCCATGTGTCAGATCCCATAATGATAAAACAGTATCCAGAAATACAAGGTTCCGTTTAGAGCCAGGGAAATAGAAGCAAGAAAACCAACCCAAAATATATAGTAGCCTCGTTCTATTGTGTAAATCTCCTACTTCACACCTCTAATATTATAGTTGAGGAAACTGGGATCCAGTAGAGTAAATGACATGTCCAAGCGCTTGTATTGGGGAGTGGCAGAGCCATTTTCTTCTCTGTTGCATGTATATGGTTCCTGTTCTTTGGTTTATGTTACCTTTGTCCTGCGTCAACTGCGTTTAGTGTCTCTTTGGTCACTTATTAAAGAAAAACACATGTTTTGATTCAGACACTGTCTTTTATTTCCTGTGTTTTTACAGTATGTTTGTTTGTTTTTCAAGATTTTAAATTGAGCTTTAACTATGTCTATCTGAACTATATGTGACTTTTTTCTGTATTTGCTTGTGGATCAAAGAAAATAAATACAATAAACTTCACTATGGTTTTAATAGAAGGGTTACTATTGATGAAAAGTAACTTAGAGAAAGACACATTGGCTTAAAAAATGATAGATCTGTTGCAGCTAGAGATAAATTATGAAGTAATTCGGTTAATTAAAGAAAATCAACCATTAGAGTGGATATATTCAAATGAATATCCCTTAATGTTGTCATCCTGGAAAGTCACATATACCGACGAAAGTATATACTTTATCTGAAAACTTATTTTAAAAAATAATTATTTATTTAATTCCATTTGTTATTATTACTTTTTAATTTGACCAGAGAGAGACAGAGAGAGAGAAAGGGAAAATGAGAAAGCAAGCCACCAAGTCCGGGACTCAAACTGTGGTCGGCCATGTGGGAATCCAGCGCCTTTAGCCACCACGCCACTGCAAGTCCCTGTGAAAACCTTTTGGAAATTTCTGTTTGGAATAGTTTTCAGACTCAATTTATGAGCTACAAAATTCACATGTGCCCTTACTCAGCTTGATTGTCCAAATTATTTCCTATTTGGCTCAGAATAACTTCTGGATGTGGTTTCCCCAAATCTGTCCACTTGAGAATGTAAAGAGGATTATTTATTTATTTATTCATTTATTTATTTTTTAAACTTTATTTATTTTAAATTTTGATCAGAGAAGGACAGAGCGAGAGAGCGAAAGAGCGAGAGAGCAGGAGAGAGACAAAGTGAGAAAGAAAGCTGCCAGGTCCAGGACTCAGACTGAGGTTGGCCATGTGGGAGTCCAGCATACTTAACTGCCATACCACGTGCTGGCCCTGAATTTATTTATTTATTTATTTATTTATTTATTCATTTGTTTGATAGAGTCTGCATGCACCAGTATGTGAGAGATAGATAAAGAGAGAGGAAGGGAAAAAAGGAAAGAAGCATTCACAGTAGGGTCCACCATGATCCCCTTTCCCCAGCTGTCCAACTTCTCAGGACTCTGGGCACCCTTGAAGGGCACTTGTGTTGTCACTGTGATAAGACAGTATTTTAAAGGATAAGCCAATGGTGAAGATGCAAATTTCAAATGTAGATATAAACTTTTTAGCTGTGTCAGTCTTGTGTACAGTGGACAGTGAGCCTCCCGAGGTCACTCCTGTGAAGGTGGCTTGTGGACGTATAAACTAGTTTGTCTTGCAGACATGTAGGATTTTGGAATCAATGTGCATTTGAATCCCAGTTTATCCGTTTAACTGCTAAATATCTTTCAGAGTCTTAGTTTCCTTTTCTGTAAAATTGGGATATTAATACTTCTTCAAGCTATTAGTTGCTAGTTGGCTTACTTACCAAGTGAGCATGTGGTGAGTGAGAGTTATTATACCTTATGAATAGTAAAATACAACCAAAGCTCTGTTTTTGTTTTGGGCAGTTATTCTAATCACGGAGGCTAGCAGACAGACTCTACCATAATTATCAGGAAGAAAAACATCCCACAGTTATCCAGTTGTGGGGAGGCGGTGCTTGGTCACCACCAATTTGAGTCTGAATAGGAGAGCAGCAAATGACAGTGAGCGGGCTAGTGCCGCCAGGCACGGATATACACAGTGATAACACGAAGTGAGGTCTCAAGCGAGGCGCAAACCCATGGCACTGAAAGTGGCTCCGCATGTTCTGGGTAATGATACATTTCAAATTGGGATTTCACCCCCTGCATTTTTTCTCCACCAGCTAGAAACCCATGTGCAGACAACAATGGGGGCTGTGAGCAGATCTGTGTCCTCAGCCACAGAACAGATAACGGGGGTTTGGGTTACCGCTGCAAGTGCACGTTCGGCTTCAACCTGGATACTGATGAGCGCCACTGCGTGGGTAAGAATTCTGTTTCGGACTGTCCCTCTGGCGGGCAGCACAGGGTGCAAGTGTGCATGCCTCTGCCCAGACAACCACTGCTCTCAGGCTGGGCCTGATTCCTGCCTGACTTCTTCACTGGGATAAGCTTCCCGCAGCCCACAGGGCATTCCCCTCGGTAAACACTCCTTCCTTCTTACACAGCTGTTTGAAGATGCAAATTTCTGTCCTTTCGAAATTTCCTTTAATTCTACACCTAGAATTTCCCTTTCCGTTTGTTTCCTGAAAACTTTGTCTCCTTTTGTTAACATGATCTTGAAATTCCGTATGATTTTGAGTTCTTGCCTGTACCAAGCCTACCTTTCCCGCTTCAGATGTTAGCCTTCACTGGGGTGGGAACTGCTTCTCCTCAATTTCACTGACTTCTTCTGGACCATCACTTAGGACCCTTTGAACCAGGTAATCACTGTACTACTGGGTGGCCCTTTTGTATATTAGAAAGTAAATGTCTGAACACTGGATTGGCCCGATTCCTCTGATTATTTTCACCTTTCAGTTCCACTTTCTATCCTCCAGTATGCTCCTGGTTCCTTTCTCACCTTGAAGATGACCTTCTTCCTCTTTGGCTGCCTGCACATTTCCTCTTACATAGGCTATTACCTGGGCCCCTGCTGATGGCATGCACTCCTTCGATATTTGTTTCTCTTATTCCCACTTTTACAACTCTCCTTAGATAAATTCTTGCTCCCAGATAATACTGCGTCTGGCTTAGTACATAGTTCTCTTAGTATGTAAGTTCTAACTCAGACAAATTTGTTTACTTTGTAAGTAATACTAGATTCAGATAAAAGTCCCCGTCTTAAAAATGTTTGTAATGATTATATCAATACTTCATTGTCTAATAATTTTGCTTTTAAATTTCTTCCACAATTTTTATCTTTGTCTTAGGTATACCTCCTTGATCTCTCTCTATATTTCATTTTATTTATTTATAATTTATTATTGACACTTAGTTGTTGTACATATTTGTGGAACAATATGGTTTTTCAAAACATGATTTGATTATCAGTGTGTGATAATCAGATTGAGGATATTACCGTATGTCTTTATGATTTCCTGACATATTGTCAGTCTCTTCTTTGATTTTTTTGAAGAAGAATTATTAACTTAATTTTAGTTATTGTCATTATTATTCTGAAAAATTTGCTATAGGGCATGCATACGACCAGAGAGTGACAGAGAGAGGGAGATGGAAAGTGAGAAAGCAAGCCACCAGGTCAGGGACTCAAACTGCTGTCAGCCAGTTGGGAGTCCAGCACCTTAACCACCATGCCACCTGCTGGCCTCTCTTCTTTGATTTTTTCAAAAAAAATATTTATTTTAACTCCTGTCTCCATTCCCCCACTAGTTTGCCATAGGTCCTGTGCGCTTGCTGGGGAGATAGAAAAAGAGAAATAGAGAAGGAAAGTAAGAAATCATCCCCTGGGGGGGGATGGACACACTACAATATATTTTCTTCCATTCTCTTCTTGGGATTTTGGGCACACATGCACACACATGTACGTTTTTCAAGTCTCCAGTACAGGGACACTAACTGCCTAATTGACCATGTGGGATCCAGCTGCTTGAACCTCTGCCACCTACTCGTCCATTAAAATATTATTTCTTGGGAACCAGCAGTTAGCGTAATGGCTATGTCGCTGGACTCCCATGTAGTCGACCGCGGTTCGCGTCCCGGACCCGGTGGCTTAAAACTCACGCCGGGCGCGTGTGCATGCGTGCCCAAGATCCCGAGAGGAGAATGGAGGAGAAGGAATTGCAGCGTGACCATCCCCTCTGGGGGGTGATTTCTCGCTTTCTGTCTCTATGTCTCTGTCTGGCGAGCGCACGCGCCCTATAGCGAAAATCTCTCCAAAAAAAAAAAAAAATTATTTCTTCAGAGACCAGTAGATGGTGTCATGGTTACACAGTTTGAGTCCTAGACCTGGAGGCTTGGTACTCAACGTCAGGCATGTGTGCGTGTATGCTCAAAATCCTAAAAGGATAATGGAGGAGAGGGGATTATGGCATGGCCATCCCCCCTGGGGAGTGATTTCTCACTTTCTGTCTTTCTTGCTCTTTCTCTCTTTCTCTTTGGCGAGTGCATACACCTTATAGCAAAAATCTCTAGGGAAAAAAAAATTTCTTCTATGAGAGAGAGAGAGACAGAGAAGCAGAAAGACAGGCACCTCTGACAATGTCTTCATGCTGCAATGCACTCCCACCCTCAGTCAACCTGGACATAGCTGTACACATCCGGATACACTCAGAGGCTGTGGGATACTAACTGGACCTTCCCAGTTACTGCTGTGCTGTTGTCTGGCTCCTACTTTTTGGATTTTAAGCATCGTTCCTTAATAGTTTCCTTCATTTCATCCTATCCCTTCCTTCTTTTACTCTTCTACTTTTTTCTAAATGACTTAACTGGCTGCAGTTAATTCTTCTCGCCTCTTTTCCTGGTCTTGTGGATACCACAAATACTGCAGAAGGATTCTTGGTGTAGATTTCTATACCAAAGTTAATCTAACTTGGGCATTTTTCTGGAAATACCATGGAGTTTAGTTAGTATTACTTAAGAAATTATGTGTACAGACACTATTTTTCCCCCCTTTTTTGGGGAGAGATTTTTTGCTATAGGGCATGTGCACTCACTGGAGAGACAGAAAGTGAGAAATCATCTCCTCCCAAGGGGGGATAGCCATGCTGCAGCCTTTTCTCTTCCATTCTCCTCTCAGATCTTGGGCACACGTGCACATGTGCCCATCATGAATTTTAAGCCTCTAGGTCTGGGACTCAAACCCTGGTGGGCCATGTGGGAGTCCAGTGCCTTTACCCCTATGCCCCCTGCTGGTCTCACCATTTTTTTTTTTTTTTTTGTGAGGTTTTAGATAGAGGGCTCATGCGCTTGCCAGAAAGACAAAGACAGAGACAGAAAGCAAGAAATCACCACCCAGGGAGGATGGCCACGCCACAATCCCTTCTCCTCCATTCTCCTCTTGGGATCTTAGGCATGCACCCACACGCGCCCGGCGTGAGTTTAAGCCACTAGGTCTGGGACTTGAACCGCAGTCGACTACATGGGAGTCTAGTGACATAGCCATTGTGCCAACTGCTGGCCTGGTCCCCATCATTTTTAATATAAATAAATTCATAGGATAAATTTCTCAAGAAGTGGTAAAAGTCTAATACTTGTATTGTAGAAGGCCGTATATTAGATCTTACACATGAACAACTGTTTGTCCATTTTGTTCCCTTACCCTTACATGTCTGTCTGCTTCTGTACACCTCTTTGTTCTTCCCATGAGAAAATAGCTTGTGCTAGCCATACAGAAAACCATATCCGGGACGACATCCTGTACCTGCTACTGTCTTTGCTAACTAGCCCGAAACCCTTTTGTTTAGCAATGTAACTGCTTGCATGGAAACCCCACTCCCCTCAGAAATAATTAATCTGCTTGATTCAGCTTCTATAACTACTTGCATAGAAACCCCTGGTAATTGACCCCCTATAAAAAGACTGCTCAAACTTTAGTTGGGGCTACAGTTTTGACTCTCGGCCCATGAGCCTCAGGCTGTAGTCACTGCTAATAAAGACTCCCTTTAAACTTAATCTGGTTTTGGTGGTCGGTGCCACTCTACAACAGTATCACATTCAGAGTTGATTAACTCTTTTCTCTCTTCCTTATTTCCAACTATGTTTTCTACAAATTAATTTTTTTGTTTTATTTTGGAGTTCTATTATATAGTTATAAGGTGTGCTTTATGGGTGAATAATTTCTCTGGAATTTGGGAAGGGCAAGAACCATGCTATGGCTAATTGCTCTGTCGCTCTTCCTACAGCTGTTGAGAAGTTCCTGCTCTTTTCATCGCAATTGGCTGTTCGTGGTATCCCCTTCACCTTCTCTACTCAGGAAGATGTGATGGTTCCGGTGACAGGGCATCTTTCTTTCTTTGTTGGGATAGATTTTGATGCCCAGGAGAACACTATCTTTTTTTCAGATACATCAAAAGACATGATTTATAAACAAAAGATCAATGGCACAGGTGAGAAATGTTTGTGTGTACATGTTTTGTCTGTTTTCAGTAATAATACTGATAATTTGCTCAATAAAACTTGTATCCACTTCTTAAGTAGCTCACTGAGTTCACTAAATGTTTTTGGATTAGGAAAAGAAATCCATTTTTTAAAATGAATTAATTTAAAACAAACACCTTTTCTTTATTTTCAAGACAAGTCGTGAGGATCTATAGTCACTTGCAGCTTGATGAGAGGAATCCTTTCTGAGAAATGGGTCATTAGGTGGTGGTGTCATTGTTTGAACAACATAGGGTGCTCTTACCTAGCTTACTACAAACTCAGGGGGTGTAGCTTACCACACGCCCCGGCTATGTGGTATAGCCTACTGCTCCTCTGTTGTGTACACGCAGTCCATTGTTAACAAATTGTCGTTATGTATTGTGTGACTATTTATTTATGTATTTATTTGTTCATTTTAGTTTGCCATAGAGCATGTGTGATCCCTAGAGAGAGAGAGAGAGAGAGAGAGAGAGAAAGAGAGAGGGAAAGTGAGAAATCACCATGCACATGTGCCCAGTGTGATTTTCAAGCTGCCAGGTCTGGGACTTGAACCACACAACTAGCCATGTGCTTTAACCTTCACACCACCTGTTGGCCCCTGATATAAGCTATTATTAGTAGTACTTTTATTAGCAATGAAATGCTTCCAAAATATGAGGGTGGGATCTTCAAAAAATTTGTGAAAATGCACATTATGAAAAGAACTATGCATATATTTCAAAGTTATTTTTCACCAAAATAAGCTTCTTCTTCTTCTTTTTTTTTTTTTTTTCTATTTTAGATTTTTGCCATAGGGCACAGGCACTCACCAGAGAGAGACAGAGAGAGAGGGAAAGTGGGAAATCACCTCCCAGAGTGGATGCCTACTCTGCAATCCCCTGTTCTACACTCTCCTCTTGGGATTTTGGGCACACAAACAGACGTGTCTGGAGTGTTTTTTAAGTTACCAGGTCTGGGACTTGAACCATGGAGCTGGCCATGTGGGATTTAATACCTTAACCACCAGGTTACTTGCTGGTCCTAAACTCATCATTTTAATTCCACTTTTCTATGAATTTTTTGCAGTACTCTAGTGTCTAATATGTTGACTAGCTCATACAGGATTTTCTTTTTACAATTAGCTGAATAAATAAATGGAAAAAAATAGAATTTATTTTTTTCCTACTACAAAGAAAGGGGTGTGATTATTTTTTCTTTTCTTTTCTTTTCTTTTCTTTCTTTCTTTCTTTCTTTCTTTCTTTCTTTCTTTCTTTCTTTCTTTCTTTCTTTCTTTCTTTTGTTCTTTCTTTTTTCTGAAACAGAAAGGAAAAAGGCATAAACATTTCACAGAGAAGAAAGTGGTCTTTTTTCTCCTGTACCAGTTCTGTTTTCCTTTTGGTATCTTTGCTGGTCTTTTCCAGACTTGGCAATTTTGTGGCTGTGAAAGACAGTTGATGAGAGGGCTGGGCAGTCATACCTCAGGGTTAGCCTTTGGTCGTACCTGGCGGTGTCAGCTTATCAGAGCCGTCTGGGGGTGGTGGTAGATGAACTCAGGTATCTCTTCTTCAGATGTTCCGCAATGAGAATTTTTTTTAGAAGATTGAACAAGGGAGTAAATCCAGGCCATACCACTCCTGGCTCTATTTATCAGTATCATATCTATTCTTTGAGATCCAGACTTTGGGGAATGGTTTAGATTGTAGGTTTATCTCATGTTGTTGCTCAGTAGTTTACAGTTACTTTTTAAAGAAAAATTCCACATGTTACTGAAATATGCTCTAAAATCTGACTGAAATTTCAATATGAAAATGTAATTTTTATAAACTATACCTGGTTTAAACCATGTCTATATTTTAACTTTTAGGAAGAGAAATTCTCACAGCAAACAGAGTGGAAAATGTTGAAAGTTTGACTTTTGACTGGATTTCTAAGAATCTGTATTGGACAGACCCTACTCACAAGAGTATCAGTGTCATGAGGCTTGCTGATAAATCGAGACGCGCAATACTCAACAATTTGAATAGCCCAAGAGCAATTGTGGTTCACCCTATTGCTGGGTATGTGTATTCATGTTTTCTGAAGGGCTTGAAACTATGTTTTTTATGTCCTCTTTAAAAAAAAAATTTTATTTAACTTTATTTATTCATGTATTTATTTCAATTTGACCAGAGAGGGATAGAGTGAGAGAAAGAGAAAGCAAGCAAGCCACTAGGTCTGGGACTCGAACTGCAGTCGGTCATGTGGGAATCCAGCACCCTTAACCAGCAAGCCACCCACCGGCTCCTATTTTATGTACCCTTATTTTGTTTTAAAGAATTATTTATTTGGTTTTATTTATTTATTTATTTTTCCAATTTGCCATAGGGCACGCACACTCACCAGAGAGAAAAAAGGAGAGAGAGAGAGAGAGAGAGAGAGAGAGAGAGAGAGGAAGTGAGAATGCAAGCCACTAGATCTGTAACTCAAACCATGGTTGACCGTGTGGGAGTCCAGTGCCTTAACCACCACACCACCTGCTGGCCCTCATGTACTCTTATTTTTAAATTTGCCATAGGACATATGCACTTGCCAGAGAGAAACAAAGAGAGGGTGAGGGAAAAAGCACCTCCCAGTGGGACGTGGTCACCCTACAATTCCCTCTGCATTTCTCCATCCGGTTGGGATTTGGGGCATGCACCCACCTGCTCCAGGCAGCTTTCCAAGCCTCTGGGACTGGGATTCCAACTGCGTGGTTGACTCCCTTAACCACTAAGTCACAAGGCTGGCCCCAAAGTGTGTATCTTTTACATTTACTGAAAAGTGATGCCAAAGAGATTTGGCAAGTCCAAGGAAACATGAGATTGAACTGTATAACTTGAAATCACCATAAATTTTATGCCTTTAGTATAGCTTAAGTGACCACTTTATCGCCTTCAAAAAACTTTCTTCTAAGTTTCAGCTTCAGCAAACTGTAGTTTTATTCATAGCTGCAGAAGACCAAATGATATGATATAGATTCAGTAGGGAAGGAATGAATATGGAGAGAAATTATCATGGAAGACTCAAATTGTTTTCCTGCTTTAATGTATTGATAGAAAGTTTAGATCTTGCTTAATCATTCAGTTGTTTGCAGAGTAAAAAGTTTTCAGACCATGAAATTTAATGTTTTACCATTCTAGAATTGGTGATGCTGGATAAGAAAAAACAGAACAATTTGTAATATTTCTTTTTGGTTCTTATATATCTTATTTAAATATGTCAAATAGTTGGCATGTTTGTTCAGAGCAAGGCTGAGCTTTGCAGTTGTCTTTGAATGGAATAGGAAGCAACATGGCTGGTCATTCAGTAAATTCACTGAGTGATTCATTCACTCAGGGTGAATGAGAAATTGAAAAGGGAACTTCAGAAAGTTAGTGCGTGAATTGAATTTAAGTATGAGTTCATTTTGGGGCAAGAAAAATTTGTAATCCTTGCCTAGTTTCTTCATAATAAACATTGTCCATTAGCTTTTTGAAGACTCTTGTTTTAGAGAGAACAACTCTAAGGCTCAATGAGATAAAGCCACTTGCTGAAAGACCCTAAACTATTATGTGACAGTATTCAAATGCCAGACCTGCTCTACTGCAGAGTTTATGTGCTTAATAATGTCTGTTTGCTGTGTCTAGTGTATATTTATTATTATTATTATTTAGGTTTTTGCTCTAGGGGATGGGTGCTTGCTAGAGAGAGACAGAGAGTAACAGAGAGAAAGTGAGAACTTAGCCCTCAGGGAGGATGTCCATGTGCAATCTTTTCTCCTCCATTCTTCTCTCAGGGTTTCAGACACACACACACACACACACACACACACACACACACACGTGTCCAGCATGATTTTCAAGCTGCTGGGTCTGGGACTTGAACCACAGAGTCAGCTATGTGGGATTCAGCACTTTCACCACCATGCCACCTGTTGGCCTCTTCTAGTGTATATTTAAATATAGATATATAGATATATGTTTAAAGTTTTAGTTAATTGCTTTTTCTCCATGAGGGAGACAGAGAGACAGAGAGATAGAGATAGGCAGCCCCAGTAGGGTCCTCACACTATTGTACGCTCCCTGGTCTTAAGTGGTCTGGATCATGGGCATGTGCACCTGCTATGCTCAGGGAGGACAGCAAGCCCAGTACCTTTCCTACATGAGTCCAGTTGCATTACTGTCAGACCACTTCCTGTTCCTTATATTTTAATTTTTACATTGTAAATTAATATGAAAAACATTTTATAAAATTGATGATATTATTACGAAATGTTATATTGCCCCATGAAAAATTAAACAATTGATTTTCTTTTTAAAAATTAAAAAAAATTATTATTATATATATTTTTAGAGGGATTTTGCTGTAAGGTGTGTGTGCTCACTAGAGACACAGAGATACAGAAAGAGAGAAAGTGAGAAGCCACCCCCCAGCGGAGATGGCCATGATGCAATCCATTCTCCTCCATTCTGCTCTCAGGATTTGGGGCACACATGTACACATGCCCAGAATGAGTTTTGAGCCGCAGGGTCTGGGACCCGAACCACAGCTGACCATGTAGGAGTCTAGCACCTTAAGCACTATGCCACCTACTGGACCCAACAATTGATTTTTTTAAAAGAGATTTTTGCCATAGGGAGTGTGCACTTGCCAGAAAGAGAGAGAGAGAGATGAGAGACAGAAAGTGAGAAATCACCTTCCTGCCCAGGGGAAATGGCCACAACACAATCCTGTCTCCTCCATTCTCCTCTTAGAATTTTAGGCATGCATGCACATGCAAGTGTAAGTTTCAAGCTGCCAGATCTGGGACATGAACCATGGTTGACCATGTGTGAGTCTTGCAATTTAACCATTATGCTATCTACTGGTCCCAACAATTGATTTTCTAATGAATTGGTCTTAACAGCTTTTCAAAACCAAATGCCAAAGACTTCGGTTAAGTTCCTTTCTTAATGACTGCTTCATGCAAATGATATTTCAGGATAAAGGATTTTTCTTTCCTTAGACTTAGCTTTTTGCCACTACTTAGAATAGAAAGGATACCTTGGGTAAGATTGTTGAAGAATTATCTTAATGTGGATGTTTTCTTCATCCAAGATGAAATTGTCTTCTGTAAACTAATCAATTCCTTGTAAAGTAATGAGTAGAGTGATGTAAAGGATCCTGGATATTTAATCCAGAGTGAGAGAATACTGTCTTCTCATCTGTGATTTATAATTTTAACAATATTTAATATGCAATGTGAATGTGTCTTTAATTAATAAATTGGGTGACAGTAGTTTTTTGTCCTAAAGTCTAGGACAGAAGATCTCTGCTCTGGATGTCCATTTTTATGCCATTTGTATTTGCGATTTTGGTGACATATCGATAACTGAACTTTTGATCGAGAATTCGATCAGTTGTACGCTGTATCTGCTAAACCCAGTGGCCATTGACATATGTAGGAAATGAAATTAATTGCTACAAGTCCCTAGGGAATATCCATTTTTGCTAATTCTCTAAGTCATGTGGCTTGTCTCAATGTTTGATTTATTACTTTATTTTCTAGGTATATATTCTTCACTGACTGGTTCCGTCCTGCTAAAATTATGAGAGCATGGAGTGATGGGTCTCACCTATTGCCTATCGTGAACACTACTCTTGGATGGCCCAATGGATTGGCCATTGATTGGAGGTCAGTAGGAATCACCATGAATTACTGAGTTTCTACTTTCTGGGCAACACATCAGGCCTAAGTGGGTAATATGATAGAGTAAGGGCAATTACTGCTTGCCCTCAGAAATTTTTAAATCACTAATCAGCAATAGGAGAGCAATGTTGAATGATACAAGAACACAAAGAACGCAAACCTAGTTGATCAGCTGCTGCTGGGATGAATGAAGCTAATGTATTTGTGCATAAATCGCTAGAATGGTAGGACTTAGTGGAAGGTCAAGATGGAGAAAGTAAGTCTCAAACTGCATTAGAAGTTCGATAGGGATTCCATGAAATGCAGATCTAGTGTAATTTCTTACAGGGGGCATCTTGAGGATAGAAACTCTTTGAGGTTAATCAACAAACATGCATTTGCTTATATGTACTTTGGGAGACTCTTTAAAGTATAAGATTCAGTTCTCAAGAAACTGATAATCTATCTAGAAATATAGGAAATGAATTAGAGTAAATAAGTTTATAGATATGAAATGTCAATGTAGTTTATGGAAGAGCAAAAGGGAGAAAAAATGCATATAACTTTTTAAATGTAGATTCCTACCAGTAGTTTTCTTTCTTTCTTTTTTTAAGAATTATTTTATTTAACTTTATTTATTTATTTACTTTAATTTGACCAGAGAGGGACAGAGTGAAAGAGAGAGAGAGAGGGAAAGCGAGAAAGCAAGCCACCAGATCCAGGACTCAAACCGTGGTTAGCCATGTGGGAATCCAGCGCCCCTAGACGCCACATCACCTGCTGCCCCCAACTACCAGTAGTTTTCTTAACTTGTTGATTTCACAATGAGAAAAATTCAATTCCTAAATTAAAGGTAGCAAAAATTTAAGTTTCCTAAGTTAATTGAAAGCCTCTTTATGAAAATAGCCGCATGTCTTTGAATGGCAGAAAGCTGTTAAATTTGTAATGAATATATTTAAAAAAAATTTTTTTGGAGAGGTTTTTGCTATAGGGCACGTGCGCTTGCCAGAAAGACCAAGAGAGACAGAGAGACAGAGAGCAAGAAATCACCCCCCAGGGGGGATGGTGACATATCAATAACTGAACTTTTGATTGAGAATTAGATCACTTGTATGCTCTATCTGCTAAACCCGACGGATCCCTTCTCCATTCTCCTCTCGGGATCTTGGGCATGCACACACATGTGCCCGGCATGAGTTTAAGCCACTGGGTCTGAGATTCGAACTGTGGTCCATTACAGAGGAGTCCAGTGGCATAGTCATTATGCCATCTGCTGGTCTCATATTTAAATTTTAAAGACTTTGTTTTATAAACTTGTCAATTAAGCATACTGTCTCTGAATACCCTCAGTGAAGAGTGCTCTGCTAGGTTCTGAATAACAGATAACTATTTTCCTATTTTAGTGCTTTACGATTGTACTGGGTCGATGCCTTTTTTAATAAAATTGAGCACAGCACCTTCGATGGTGTAGACAGAAGAAAACTCGATCATATACAGCAGATGACACATCCCTTTGGACTCACTGTCTTTGGAGGTACGTTTTGAAGTAATAAAAGTATGTATTGTTTTGTATTTTGCAAGCTGTAACAATAATTTAACCTCATCTGCCAATTTTCACAATGCCAGAAAAGCTGGTCACCTTAAAACAGAAAAAACTTAAATGGTGCTATTATATAGAGAGGAATCATTTGGTTTGTTGATGGACTATTTCACTTTTAGAGTGTATTTTTTGTTTTGGAGACATGTAGGTAACATTGTCAAATTACATGGGTATAAAATTTTGTGGATTATTGATACATGTATTGTACAATTCAACATCTCAAGTACGTCGTTATATAGCAGCACACAAGGAAATAGTAAATTACTGTTTTCATCATTTTCAAGAATAAACCAGCATCAGTTGTGTGTAGTAACTATTGTGGACTTAGCTTTTAAAAGCCCCAATGCATGTCTCCATCCGAAGACCCGGTAAGGAGTGGATGTGGCCGCCACCGCGCCTGCCCCGCCTGGGAAGCCATCACAGCTCATCTGTGCCCTCGGCTGCATGAGGACAGCAAGGCTTTTTCTTCAGAGTCTATTTTTTCAGCAACAAAGACCCAAGTCTTCCTGCTGCTGCCAGGAAGAATCGGGAGAGTGCTGCATGCGAGATGAGCCCAAACACTGCCCGCCTCACTTCCCCAAAGCTCTGCCTTGCCGCCAGCACCACCACCATCCCGTGGGCACCGGCAAGGCCGGGGCCAGGCGGACGCTGTCCGAGAGAAGACAGAGACAGCCCTCGGCTGGCTTGTGCCCCCAGGTTCTGCCCTCTGCCTCCACCGCGAGGTGCTGACCTGCGTCAGGCAGCTACCACGGTGGCCGGGCACACCCTTGGCCTCCTGGGAACATGAGCCACTTGACCAGTCAGCTCGGCCAACATCGTTCCTTTCCCTTTTGGGACTGAGGCTGCAGCATTGGAACAAAACACAGCATTATATCACTTTTTCTTTGTTTTTGTTTCGTTTGTCCATTTAAACATCTATTTAGAACTGTGCTTTGTCAAAAATCTTCCCTTTTCTTTTTATCCCCCAGTTAACTGAGGTTTTTACTGATTTATAGAGCAGTTCAAACCCTAAGTGCTTGAGTGCTTAGAAATCCCCTCTGGTGCTTGGTTGAACAAGGGAATCACAAGAAAACGAAAATGCAAAAACTGAACTGTGAGGGTCGTTCTGTGCCTTCTAGCATCTTGTACAGCAAATCCTGACTCATGTCTTTTTACCCCCAAAATATCTGTCTTCAGTAGCGATTGAATCTGCCACTGTCAAAATAAGTTACTTGCATTTATTCCAAATAATCTTGGTTACTCTCAACTGTTTATGCAAATTGTTTAAGGTTTCTTCTTATGCCCAAGTTTGAAAAATGATTTCCCAGTAGACAAGAGACGGCTACCCACCCTAAAATTATGGTATTTATTTACATAAGAAAGATCTTATGGGAATTCTTTGCTTGAGTCTGTTCTAACACCCATGGCAGCTGCGAGCGCTAGCGGGAGGTGGAGATTGCTTGCGCAGGTACAAAGGACTTCAGCAGCGAGGAGCAAAGATCAGAGACTGCTAAACCCTCACATCTGGGTGAGGAAATCGTCTGCAAGGTTTTGCCCTTGGTTTACTTTTTTTTCCCCTCCATTTTTATTTATTATTTTAAAAATATTTTTGAAATTTACATTCATTTGCTGTACATCATTACAGCATACAAAATGAGATTTTCCATCCAGAGTACACTGTATATTGTCTCAATCAAGCACATCAGCGTACATGTTATTGTCAACAAGTAATTTTTCATTTCTTGTTTCCTGTATGTTTTGCTTTTTTCCCCCCCATCCTTGATTCCCTATCTCTTTACTGAGGAGGGGCCTGGTGGCTACCGGAACCCCCCTCATTCTAAAGTGCCGTGTGAAAGGGACATGATGTATATGCAGCGTTTGTTTGGAGATTTTTTCTTTTTCTTTTGTTTTTCTTTTGCAGTTATTCAATTTGTATGCATGGGATTTTTACATCTCTGTCATAGGTAGATCCATGGATGGGCATTACTACTGTGTCTTGTAAGGGGTCGATTTTGTTGTGCAACACTCAGAATGCTGTTTTTAGCTTTGCTTTTCCAGTTGTGTTTTTTCAGTCATTTCTTTAAGGGAAACAAAGTGATTTAATTGGAGCAAACAAAAAAGAAAAAGAAAAAAACCAAAAACCAAAAACCAAAACTATTGTGACATTTCATTATTCTCTGGTGTTTATAAGAATCACCAAAATCCTTCTGGAAAAACAAAGAAGCAATGATATATATACTGTGTTCATCAACTGTACACTCACTGTATGACTGAACCTTTGTGGTCTAAATGTTGGGTAAATGAATTATCTTTGTTTTATAGATGTGTTAGAATATGGCATATGAAGAATAACAAGACTTGATTATTTATTTCACCAACCTTTCAAAATAATTTCTAGGCACTCAGAGCAGGGAATTCTCAGAAACTGCACCCACGGCGATCACAGGCGTGCATTTAGCTTTCCTCCCCCCAGCTCTTTTGGGTGCAGGTGTACCATTGTGAATCGAGTTGCTTGTTTCGGGTTGAAAACAGGTCTCTGAGTGGTTGTGTAACTTGTGTCCTGTACAGAGTACTAGGCTAAGAGAGTGAGGTGAGACTTAAAATCTACCCTAGTTGTGTTGGCAAAGCATCATTAGTCCTGTTAGAGGGGAGATGTTTTATATAGGGGGGCTACCAAAGGCCCTATGCACACACTACTTGTGTCTCTGGTCGAAACTTCCTACTTTGAATAATTAGCATAGTGTTTTTAAAAACTAGATGCTGACTAGAAATCACAGCCTTTCTTATACACAGAGTGTGAAATGAATAGTTAGTAAATGTATTTGTATTCTCTCCTACTGTGTTTATTTGTGGAATAGTATATGGTATCTGGTATTTGAAAATAGTTTTAAAATGTGCTTGTAAGATTTTTTTTTAGCTCTTTTTTTGGGGGGGAGGGGGAGAGAGGTTTTTGCTATAGGGTGCATGTACTTGCCAGAAAGACAGAGACAGAGAAACAAAAAGTGAGAAATCACCCCCCCAGGAGGAATGGCCACACCACGATCCTGTCTCCTCCACTCTCCTCTCAGGATCTTGGGCATGTAAGCACATGTGCCCGATGTGAGTCTAAGCCACCAGGTCCAGGACTCAAACCGCGGTTGACTACATGGTAGTCCAGTGACATAGTCATTACACCAACTGCTGGTCCCACCCTTGTGAGATTTTTGATGATATGAGCCAATTATAAATACTCAGTCTTGCTTCCCCCCATGCATGTGCTCCCTTTTCCTTAGTGATGTCAGATACACCCTATTTGCTGTCACACAAAAAGATTTTAAGAATGTTACATTTTCTTTGCTTCTTGCTGGAATGTTTTGGGCGTGAATAAAAATGCAGCTTTAGTATCTTTTGAATTCATCAGTAAGAAAAAAATCTGAATGCATACCCATGAAAGCAACGTAACACTCCCCAAATTATTATAATTAGTTTTTTGTAACACTGCCTTTCATTGTGAATTCCTAATGGAAAATTCTTTTATTGGGCAATACCATAAAAATTACCTTTTAACCAAAAGACTAGCTCTACCCAGATTTCAGTCTATGTAGATCCCTTCCTGGGTTGGACTAAGATTGCCAGTCAGTAGAGATAAGATTTAGTCAGTTCAGTGACTGTTTAGTCATTGATTAGGTCACAGATAAGGAAAAACTGGTCTAATGATAACATTGTGAAATTTTAAGCATTTTCTGGTTAATTGGGATTTCTAGTTAATCTATTGTTAAAGAAAAAAACCCACCTTGATTTCTTTCTTTCAAAATCTGTTGAAATGTGTATGTATACACCTCTGCTTGAGTGGCTACAGTAAAAATGATTAAATTTTTGTTGTTCAGAATCTTAAATTGCCAATCTTCCACCATTCCAAGCATCGTGGAACGTTAACATTAGTTGTAGATGTTTATGTACTGCTGTTGATATTTTTATTGATTCCCAAATGTATACTGAGAATTCCTTTTTGAATTAGATCTGTACTTTTCAACTTTTCCTATAAAAGTTGAGCATAAAAATATTAAGTATTCTCATTAAGACATAGGATATGGAATGTTGGACTTGGAAGCAATTTTTCGGATGATTCACAATTTCCTTCACACAGTTCAGTATTTACCTACAAGCATTCAGTGGTCGGTTAGTGCTTTGATGAGATAGGAATTCAGTTTTTTGAGGCCTTATGAAATGCCCTCCAAAAGAATTCTGCAGAAGAATCCTGAGACTTTTTATAATCCTTTTTACCTATGGAAGTCTATGCGTAATTGCTATTAAATGCCATCATAAAACTATACACAGGCTTGCCTGGACCTGAACTCTGGGATTCTTAAAGTATAGGCTTCCAAAGAGCATTTCAAGAGAGTAAGAGTCACGGGAAATGGTTACAAAGACACATTACAGATACTGATGGGAGAAGATTTTCACATTTGCAAGAAGTGTAAGGCTGTTGCATTTTTCCCAAGTGATAAAGTAAGGTGTGAGCAAAAATACTAATCGCATGTGTTTCTTCTTAGAACATGTCTATTTTACGGACTGGCGACTGGGTGCTATTGTTCAAGTCAGGAAAAGAGATGGCGGTGATATGACAGTTATCCGAAGAGGCATCCGTAACGTAATGCATGTGAAATCATATGACAGCAGCATACAGACCGGTGAGTGAGAATGCCAAGCTCTGCTGTGGTTTTAAAGGGAGGAATACAGTCCTCCTCCCTCAGCCTCCCCAGTAGGTGGGGTTGCAGGCATTCAGCGCTGCACCTGGCTTTTTAGCGTAGGTCTGGAAATGAACCTGGGCGTCTCCAGCATCAGCCCGTGTGTGCTACTGCTACTAGTCCACCAAGTATTTTTATGTGGATGATTGATATGGTGGCTCCTTTTCTCTTGAAGTACTTATTTACTACTTGTTAATAATTTTATATTCCTGTCACCAACATAATTTAATAGTGTAAGACTTTAAATCTCTGTTCAACTCTGTGAACCCTAAAAATTGCACTCAGAAAAACACATTCTAGCACTTTTTAAAACATCTTTAAATGGAATGTTATATTTGGCAAGTTGATGTTCAAGTGGAAGCTACTTTTTAGTCTGAAAATTGTTCTGAGTCCCCAAAATGTTCTTTCCTCTTTGATTTTCTTCACAAATCAAACCTGTGGTCACCCTAGTAGGGATGTGTGGGAGCAGGCATAACTTACTAGCTCAGGGCTTTGCTTTTGCAGGTAGTAACTACTGCAATCGACCCGTCCATCCTAATGGCGATTGTAGTCACTTCTGCTTCCCAGTGCCAAATTTCCAGCGGGTCTGTGGGTGCCCCTATGGCATGAGGCTGTCTTCCAACCAGTTGACATGTGAGGGAGACCCAGCCCGTGAACCACCCACGGAACAGTGTGGCTCCTTTTCTTTCCCCTGCAACAACGGTAGATGTGTGCCCAGTCACTACCGATGCGATGGCTTCGATGACTGTCATGATAACAGCGACGAGCATCTCTGTGGGACATCTAGTAAGTAGCTATGCATGGGGGGATGGGCGAGAAGGGGGGATGAATGGAGCAGAGAGAGGTGGACTTTATAAACAAACAATAAAAGTTTGGGTTACTTACATGGAAAAATATATCTTTTAGTATTTCAGATTCTTAACATGTACTCTAATGGCTTTTAGGAAACTAAGCAGTAAATTTCATTCTTATCATAGATAATGTTACAAATAGTTTCTAGGATTGATTTAGACTATCTTAAAACATTTTATTTTTGACATTTACTATTTAGATCAATGCAGAATCTCTACATCTTGGCAAGTTCCTTAAAAAGTCAAATAAAAATAAACTGGACATAGTCTTTAGTATCTGAGAGAATAGTTTCACAGAATAGATTATTGTAATCATAGTCTTTGAATTTCTTATGTACTATGTTCATACCCACCTCCCTTTTGGAGTGAAGTGAATTAGGGCAGTTTTGCTATAGGGCATGTGTGCTTGCTTGAGAGAGAGAGAGAGAGAGAGAGAGAGAGAGAAATCACTCCTTAGGGAGGATTACCACACTGTAATCACTTCTCTTCCATTCACCTCTTGGAATTTTGGGTACACATGCACGTGCACCTAATGTGTTTTTCAAACTGCCGGGTCTGGGACTCAGACTGTGCAGTTGGCCATGTGGGACCCAACCACCTTACACTCCACATCATCTGCTTGGCCAGTATTTTATTATTTTTTTAATAGTAATCTAGTCTCTAAAGTGGAGGCCTAAGAAATATAATAGAGGGAGGCAGAATTATTCCATTATAATTTTTTTTTAAATATAGAGAATATTTGACATCCCAATCTGTATTAAGGTGCAGTTAATGGTATGATAACCTGTCTTCTTGGAGAGAAAGAAGAGTGATGGATTTGAAAAACAGAAGTCTTGACTTGTACACTTTTCAGAATCTCTAAAATTTTCATTTCCAGCATATTATCTTCTTGTTCTAAGTATTACCTGAATGTTTTATCCATTTGACTGTTTCATATGACAGTTTCAAGGTTTCTATAGACTGTGTTTGAAGTTGTTGTTTGAAGAAGTATAGCTTAAAGGTTAAACAAGGCACACTGTTAGAGCTTGAATCTTGGACATATTCCTAAGTCTCACGCTTACCTATAAAATGCAGATGATTATATGTACTTTATAATATTTTTGTGAGGATCAAAAGATAAAGAAAGATAGTTCTTATAAAAGTGCCTGATATATGTTAAAAAGTGAATAAGTATGATGATGGTGGTATCACTTGATGCATGTTTCTCCTTATTTCGGATAACACCCCCACTGAAATAAGAGAACGAGACCTCTACAATGCAAGAACTCATTTACAAGTTGCAAAAACAAATCTCTTTATGACCAGTTTGTTGCTGTTGTAGATACTTCCTGTTCATCTTCGTCCTTCACCTGTGCCCATGGAGGACAGTGTATCCCTGCAAGATGGCGCTGTGACAACCACTTCGATTGCATGGATGAGAGTGACGAACAGAACTGCCCTACCCGTGCACCTGCTTCTTGCGCTGAATCCTACTTTACCTGTGATAATAATGTGTGCATCTCAAGAGACTGGGTCTGTGACACGGACAATGATTGTGGGGATGGATCTGATGAAAAGAACTGCAGTAAGTTTTGAAATGGTTTCTCTTGGTTAGTTGCCATAGTCAACGGAACAGTCAATAGGCTTTGCACTTTTTCCTCTAAAGCTCAGTTCTCATGATGGCAACTTTTGCATCTTAGGAGACCTTTTCCATCTATCAATCTCTGTATCCCTAAACTGTAAGAACAAAGGCACATGAGAAGCTTGGGGCCGCCACAGATACAGAGTTCTATGGAAGCAAAACACTGATGGTCTCTGATGCCACACATCCAGATAGAAACAGGAAAAACAAAACCCCCTCAACTAACCATTCAGATACTTAAATAGTTTGTTTTCTTTTCTTCTTTAAATCATATATACTTAGCCAGACATTTGGCTATTAGTTTTTCTTTACGTTTGAGACAAGCAGAAAGATAACAGAATAAAGGAGCACAGAAAGTTTAAATTTCCTTTAGTCTCACCCAGTTGATTTTTATCTGGTCAGTTCTGATTTCTTTCTTTAGGGTGTTGTTTATTTTCATGTCTTTAATAATAGTTTAAGGCAGAGCAAAGTTTCTTGTACTTAGTTCCAGACTTGGTTGCTGAGGAGGGAAGTCTCTTTTTTTCTGGAATGGATGAGTTTTAAGATGCCTTTTGTTTTCCCAATTTATATGTAATATAACTTCATGTTGATATTGGGCCAGCCAGCACACTGAATTCCAAAATTCCAAAGGTTTTTTTTTTTTTTTTTTTTGAGAGAGATTTTTTAATATAAGGCATGTGCACTCACCAAAGAGACACAGAGAGATAGAGAGACAGAAAGCAAGAAATCACCTTCTGGAGGGATGGCCACTTCAGAATCCTTTCTATTCCATTCGCATCTTGGGATTCTGGGCATGCACACATATGCACTCAGCATCAGTTTTAAGCAGCCGGGTCTTGGACTCAAACCGTGGTTGACTACAGGGAAGTCCAGCAATGTAACTACTATGCCATCTGCTGGTCTCTCAAAGCTATATCTTAACAGCAAGGCAGGCCCCTGATTTATAGAATTACCCTATTTAGACTTTGTATTAAATCCAGTCATCATGATGCATCTGCACACTGTTGCTATAGGATCAGGTGGGGAAGAATTTTCAATCCATGTAACAACTGAGATGACTTACATAGTTATTTAGCATTTTCCAGTATGACTCTGATACACTTTGGTCAAGAAATAAACTTACTTGGTTTTGTTTTTGGATGACATTAGAATCAGGGACCTGCCGACCTAGTCAGTTTCAGTGCTCTGATCATCGATGCATTGACCCATTGTATGTGTGTGATGGGGACAAGGACTGTGCAGATGGATCTGACGAGGCTGGCTGTGGTAAGTAGTTTGCCTTATTTTTATTCCTGATATTTAGAAACATCTCGGCGTTTAGTCATTTTCTCTCTGAGTTAATTTTTGGTGACTTTTTTCTTTAATTTTTAGTGTATAATTGCACTGCTTCTCAATTTAAGTGTGCCAATGGGGAAGGCTGCATTAACAACATGTATCGTTGTGATGGTGTTTTTGACTGCAATGACAACTCTGACGAGGCAGGCTGTCGTAAGTACCATACACTTAGCATGTTTCTGACGAAGGGGTCGTTTCATTTTTACTGGGACAGTTTGAGTATTCCATATCTGAAATGCTTGGATTCGGAAGTGTTTTTGGATTTCAGACGTTTTTTTGATTTTGGAGTATTTATATAGACATAATGAGGTATCTTAGGGATGGGGCACTAAGTATAAATACAAAATTCATTCATGTTACATATAAGCCTTATGCATTTATCCTGGAGCTAATTTTATGTCATATTATAAATGATTTTTGTACATGAATCAAAATTTGTATATACTGAACCATCAGAGGTCAGGTGTGGAATTTTCCAATTGTAGCATCATGCTGGTAACTCAAAAGGTTTCAGATTTTGGATTTCAGATTTTCAGACTGGGGTATTCAAACTGTATTGATGTTACTGCAAATTTTCTCTCACCCACACAAACCAGGAGGAAGAAAGTAGTCTGAACTATATTCTCAAAGGAATGTAGTATTGAGCATACAGTAGAATTGACTAGGTGTTACCAAATTATGATTATAATTAGTAAATCAAGTGGTTATATAAATGGACACTTTACAGTGTCTCTTAGGTAGGTTAATTATTTCTTAGATATTTTTGTTTTCAATTTTTTGATGGATTTTTGCTGTAGGGCACGTGCACTTGTTGAAAAGACAGATGGAATCAGAGAGACAAAAAGCAAGAAATCACTCCCCTGGGGGGATGACCTTGGCACAATCCTTCTCCTCCATTCTCCTCTTGGGATCTTTGGCACACATGCAAACGCACCCCACTTGAATTTAAGCTGCTGGGTCCAGAACTAGAACTGTGGTTAACTACATGTGAGTCCAGTGATATAACCATAATGCCATCTGCTGGTCCCCTTGTTTTCAGGGTTTTTTTTTTTGGAGAGGTTTTTTGCTATAGGGCGTGTGCTCTCACCAGAAAGACAGACAGAGACAGGGAGACAGAAATGGAGAACTCACCCCCCAGGGGGGATGGCCACGCCACAATCCCTTCTCCATTGTCCTCTCAGGATCTTGGGCACGCACGCAGATGTGCCCAGTGTGAGTTTAAGCCATTGGGTCCAGGACTCGAACTGTGGTTGACTACATGGGATTCTAGCAACATAGCCATTACGCCAAGTGCTGGTCTCCCTTGTTTTCAATTTCAAGTCAAATTAATGGGTTTCAACTTTTTTTTTTTTTTTGAGACTTTCACTGTAGGGCGCGTGCGCTTGCCAGACAGAGAGAGACATAGAGACAGAAAGCGAGAAATCACCCCCCAGGAGGGATGGTCACGCCGCAATCCCCTCTCCTCCATTCTCCTCTCGGGATCTTGGGCACGCACGCACACGCGCCCGGCGTGAGTTTTTTTAAGCCACCGGGTCCGGGACACGAACTGCGGTCGACTACGTGGGAATCCAGTGACATAGCCATATGCTAACTGCTGGTTCCCAATGGGTTTCAACTTTTGAGGCTTTATTATATGTAAAGATATTTATATGTAAAGAAATGATTATGTCTTTTTAATCTTTCTTTCTGCTAATATGGTGTTTTATGTTTATGGTTTTGCGTATGTTGAACCACCTTTGCATATGTGGAATAAAACCTATCTGGTTGTGATGAATAATCTTTTTTATAAGTTGTTGTATACAATTCACAAGTATCTTGTTGAGAACTTTTGCATATATATTCATCAGAGATATTGGTCTGTAGTTTTCCTTTTTTGTCATGTCTTTGTTTTGGGAATGAGGATGATGGAGGCTTCATAAATGAATTTGAGAGGATTCTTTCCTTTTGGATCTTTAGAAATAATGTGAGTAGAATGGGGTTAACTCTTCTTTAAAAGTTTTATAGAATTTAGAAATGAAGCCATCAGGACCCGGGTTTTTCTTTCTTGGGAGATTATTTCTTACTCATTTAATCTCATGGCTTGTTATGGGTCTATTCAGGCCTTTTGTGTCCTCCTGATTCAATCTTGGTAGATTATATGCATCCAGAAATTTGTCCATCTCCTTCATGTTCTCTTGTTTGTTGGCATGTAGTTAGTCATAGAATTCTTTAATGATGTTTTGTATTTCTCTTGTGTCTGTTGTAATATTGCCTGGTTCATTACATATTTGATTTATCTGGCTTCTTTATCTCTTTTTCTTAAAATCAGTCTAGCTAATGAATGATGCGTCAGTCTTGTTAATCTTTTCAAAGAACCAGCTCTTGCTTCCATTTATTTTTTTTATAATTACTTTCTTTTCTATTTCATTTATTTCTGCTCAAGTATTTATTATTTCTTTTGACCTGGCTTTTTTTTTTCTTTTTGGTTGTTGCTTTTCCAATTCCCTGAGGCATGATGTTAGGTTGTCTATTTGCCACCTTTCCATCTCTTTCTTATGTGCACTAATTGCTATGAATTTCCCTTAATGACTGTTTTTGAGGTGTCCCATAGATTCTGAAGCTTGTGTACTCATTATCATTTGTTTCCATAAATCTTTTGATTTCAGACTTAATATCTTCGATAGTTGAGAAGTCATTCAGGAATAGATTATTAAGTTTTTCATGTATTTGTGTATTTTTTGAGGATATTTTTCCTGAAATTAATGTCCAGTTTAATTCCATCATGGTCAGAAAAGATACTGGATATAGTTTCTATGACTTTGAATCCATAAAGGTTTGATTTGTGCCCTATCATATGGTCAATCTTTGAAAAAGTTCCATGACAGGGTGATAAAAATGTATGTTTCATGGTCTTAGGGTGTAAAGTTCTATAGATATCTGTCAAGTCCATTTGATTTATAGTATTGTTTAGGTCCTGTATCTGCTTATTTATTTATTTATTTATTTTTGCCTAGAAGATCTGTCTAAAGGAGATAATGCGGTGTTTAGATCCCCAACAATTATGGTGTTGCAACCTCTCTTCTCCTTTTAGCTCTAGCAGTCTTTCCTTCACGTATTTAGGTGCTCCTCAGTTGGGTGCATAGATATTTATAAATGTTATATCTTCTTGATGAATTAGCCCTTTGACTACTATATAATGCTCTTTGTCATGTCTTACAGTTTTTGTCTTAAAGCCTATTTTGTCTAAAATCAGTATGATGACTCCAGCCCTTTTCTGATTTCTGTTTGCATGGAATACTTTTTTCCAGTCCTTCATTTTAAGTCTATGTATGTCTTTATCTATAATGTGTGTTCCTTGTAGGCAACAGATAGAGGGTTTCCATTTTTTAACCCATTCAGACAGTCTGTGTCTCTTGATTGGCGAATTTAATACATTAACATTCAATATTATTATTGATATTTCTGGACCTGTTCCTATCATTAAGTGAGTCATTTTCTTGGTTGTTTTATGTTCTATTATATCTGTCTGTCTGACTTTAGTTTTCTTGGTACAGCACTTTCTTCAGAATTTCTTGAAGAGCTGGTCTGGAGCTGATAAATTCTTTCAGGTTTTGTTTATCTGAGAATGTTTTTATCTTTTTTTCCCATATGAAGGCATAGTAAACTTGGTTGAAATTGTTTTTCCTTTAACACTTTGAGTATATTTTCCCATTCTTTCCTTGTCTACATTGTTTCTGATGAGAGGTCCGATGTTAACCTGATGAGATAACCTTTGTAAGTAATTTGACATTTCTCTCTTGCTAATTTTAGTATTTCTTCTTTGTCTGTGGTTTTGGCCAATCTGGCTATAAGGTGTCTGTGAGGAGATCTTCTTGGGCTGATTCCATTTGGGTTCCTTTGTATTTCTTGGGTTTGGACCTTTGCATGCCTCCCTAGGTTTGGAAAGTTTTGTTCCAGTATTTCATGCAATAGATTATCTATGTCCTTATTATCTTCTTTACCCTCTGGGATACCAGTTATCTGGATGTTTCGACGTTTAATGGTATCTAATATTTCTCTTATATTGTCCTCATTTTTCTTGGTTATTTTCTCTTTTTTTTTGATGATTTTTTTCTAGATCAGAGGTTTTGTCTTCTACATTTGAAATTTGATTTTCTGCATGATCTAATCTGTTTTTAATACTTTCCAGAGAGTTTTAAATTTCCTATATCAGTTTCATCAATTCTTTGATTCTTTTTTATGGTATCTAGTTCTTCTTTCAAATTGTGAAAGGTCTTTCTCATCTCCTGGAGCTCGTTGTCTCTTTTTTCTTGCATTTCATTTATTTTGGTCACTATAAATATTCTGAATTGTTTATCTGACATTTCCAAAAGTTCCACTGTGTTGTCTGTAGATGATGAGAAATTAAAGTTTTTCCTTGAGGAAGAGACATTTTTCTCTGTTGTTCATATTTCTTGTGCTTCTGCGATGGTTTCTAGTCATCTGTTGGTTTCTTCCTGAGTTCGTCCAGTTAATTCTGAGCATTCAGAGGTAGGCAGGAGTAGTTAATTGGTGATCTTTCTGTTGCTCTACCTCAGTGATGCTCACCAGCAACCTGGACTGTTGTCACTAGACTTGGCTGATTCAATGTCCTCCCAGTCTTTAGAGAACAGGTGTGCCTGGGATTGAGCTGCTAAAATTTAGTTGAGGAATACAGAAGGAATCTGAAAATACTGTGGTTTCAGAACTCAGAGGCAATGAGCCACAGTCTCTCTGTACCTCAGTCTCCCTGGTGCTTTTGAGAGTTCAAAGGCAAGTGGGGGAGGGATGAGCCACAGGGATCTGCAGTACAAACCTTAGGCCAAGGAAGCTTGCAGTATGGCAAGGCCATCATTGGAACGGGTATCACAGAGGCATGCGTTGGTGGGGGGAAAGGCCTTCTCAAGTCCCACATAATGCACCTGAGAGTTTAAAGGTAAGTGGGGGAGTGGATGAGCCATGGGACACCCAGAAAATTTTAATCATCCATTTTGATGGTCTGAGGTTAAACTGCCAGTTGCCCTGATTTGCTTCTGCTTTGTGAGGTCTCCTGGGAGAGGGAGTTTGTGTTTACCTCTGTGAAATCGGAAAGCAATTTTTGTCTGTCTCTTTAGGATTACTTGATGGACTGTGAAAAGTTTGCAAAGAATTAGGAATTTACTGTCACCTTTAATTTATTTAATGTGTGCTGGATTTATTCGATATAGTTCATTTGAGGGAACTTAAGAAATTATTTAACTTTGTTAATAATTCTTCTTCTTCAATTTGACCAGAGAGAGACAGATTGAGAGAGAGAGGGAAATTGATAGTGAGAACGCAAGCCAATGGGTCTGGGACTAGAACCGTGGTTGGCCATGTGGGAATCCAGTGTCTGAACCATTATGCCACTTGCTGGCCCATTTGAGGGAAAATTTTAATATTCAAACATATTAAGCTCATGAAGTTCAAAGCAATTATAGCTGTTTTAGATCTGTTGAAATGCTCCAGTGATTTTTTTTTTCTTTCTTTTTTACTTTAGTTTTGCTGTAGGGCATGTGTACTCACCAGAGACAGAAAGAAAGAGAGAGAGAGAGAGAGAGAGAATGAGAAATCACCCCCTAGAGAGTATGGCCACATGCAATCTCTTCTCCATTCTCTTCTTGGGATTATTGGATTATGGGCATGCACGCACATGTGTCTGGCATGTTTTTCAAGCTGTCAGTTTAAGACTCAAACCATGCAGTCAGCCATGTAGGATCCAGCTCCCTTAAATGCCACAATACATGGTTGGCTTTGGTGATTCTTTAATTGAGAGATAAGACAGATTTTATGATTGAATCTGTAATTAAATAAACATTACAAAAGCAGGAAGCAGAATGCACTTTAGGTACTTTATCTTTTATTTGTGGGTTGTACATCCTGTACTATACTAATCAGTGTGGGAGAATAAGGTTCTATATTATTTTGGCCTTTAATATTAATTTTGTCATAGTCAAGCTGGATTTCCTCATACTTTTCTTCTAGCAACCAGGCCTCCCGGTATGTGCCACTTGGATGAATTTCAGTGCCAAGGAGATGGTACCTGCATCCCGGATACCTGGGAGTGTGATGGGCATCCAGACTGCATCCAGGGATCGGATGAGCACCATGGCTGTGTCCCCAAGACCTGCCCATCTTCTCATTTCTCCTGTGACAACGGACACTGCATCTACAAAGAGTGGCTCTGTGATGGGGACAATGACTGCGGTGACATGAGCGATGAGAAGGACTGCCCTACTCAGCCCTTTTACTGTCCCAGTTGGCAGTGGCAGTGCCCTGGCCTTAGCATCTGTGTGAATCTGAGTTCAGTGTGTGATGGCGTCTCTGACTGCCCCAATGGGACCGATGAGTCCCCACTTTGCAGTAAGTTTCCTGACCACAGTTTATTAGCCATAGATTTATTCTGAGACATAGCCTGGTATATATCACTATTCTCATAGTGACTGTGCAGTTTGTAGAAAGGGTTTCAGTTCCCCTGTGAGTTCAAATCTGTGTAGGGGGACCCCTAATTGATTTCTAATAAATCATCACTGGATAAGAGTTCTCATTAAATCCTTTGCACTTGGTTATGTGTTTTTACTTCTTTTCATGTAATTGTTTAGAAAAATGAAGTTAGATGAGGCCATTAGATTGTCAAGTTAAATTTGATTCTGTTGGTAATGTGCTCATGAATTTTTCTGACTATAATATTTTCTAATTTCAATCAGAACTTACCACAAAACAAGTGAAGTCCTGAAATTTGTGTTTGTTGTGATTAAAATGTGATTAAGATTGGCATGTTATCCTAATTACTGTCCTCTCTTTCTTCTTTAATCAATGCTCACTCTCAGATGAATCCCAGCCAGGTATGATTGTGAAGTATTACAGATTCTTTTGTATGCATTATGTTCATGCTGAAAATATCCTAGTTATTTTGCCTCTCTGGTACCTATTCTGTATTATGACTCTTAGCAATAGGTTAGTGTACATATGGCAATAGAGAGTATTTTTCCCCCCCAGGTATGTAAACTATCTTTGAGTGGCTTCAGGCATTACCATTTTTGACCCGAGTAAGGAACGATGGTTTGTTAGTGGATCTGTGTCCTTCACTGTTCCAATTACCTTTCTCCTTCCATTTATTCACTTTAATAAATCTTACTGTCTTTTCTCTTAAAAGTTTCAGTCTTCCATTTCTGTATAGGTAGAAAAAAATTTCAGAGGAAGTAAGAAGTAATTTAGGTTTCTTCGTATGCTTTATCAGTGACAGTTTTGTTTCTTGATATCAGTATTTCTCCAAGGTTATTTCATTGCAATGGAAGGAGTTATATAAGATGGTTGTACTGAATAAGGTGGTCCAACTCTAATGGATGTATCCTTAACAGAGCACACGCTGCACAACCTATGGAATTCACCCAAGCAAATGCTGCTCTTAGCTCTTACATGAGCATCACACTGAAGGCGCAAACATTATATCAGAGTGAACCAAGGAAGCAAGGATTCCTGACATTTTTCTTTTGTGATTCTCGTTTTATATTCTAGACCAGGACAGCTGCTCAGATGCTAATGGTGGCTGTACACACGAATGTATTCAAGGGCCCTTTGGGGCTCAGTGCCTATGTCCCGAGGGATACCGACTTGCCAATGATTCTAAAACTTGCGAAGACATAGATGAATGTGCTGTTCTAAGCTTTTGTAGCCAGCACTGTTACAATACCAGAGGTTCTTTCCGGTGCTGGTGTGATAAAGACTACAGGTTAGAAGGTGACGGAAGGACTTGCAAAGTTACAGGTAATTACTGAACTTAAAGGTGAATTATATACAAGTAGAGATTAATCTTTTTTGTTATTTACAGTAATACAAAATGCCCTTAGATTATTTAGAAATGATTTCTATATTCTATTTTACTATATGAAAGCGATGATTATACTATTTATTAGGAGATTGCTTTGACTACTTTGAAAGTGACCCAAAAAAGGAAGCTAAAACAAAATAGAAAGTTTCTTTAGAAGTAGGAGTTGAGATGATAGGCAGTCCAGGGTAGAGCTGATCTGTTATGCTCTTCAAGTGTGCTTTCTTCAGGAACCAATGTGATTGTACCAGGCTTTGCCTTCTTTTTGAAAGTAAAGAAGGGAATGAGAAAGTGAGTGACAAGCAGTTTCCTTTTAAGGATGTGACCTGGAGTTTGATACACCATTTCCACTAATGTTTGGTTGGTCAAAATGTGGTCATGTGGTCACTGCAAGCCACTGTGGAGGCAGAGACATGTCTCTGGCTGATCCGCCGTGTGCCAAACTACACTTGCTGTGCTTTATGACTAAAATGGCCTAATGGAGTGTGGCCACTCTGCCACTGCTGAGTGTCTCTGGGAAAACAGAAATCGTTGACACAATTCCTGCTATCAAGAAGCCTATGAACTAGTTGGGACCAGCAGTTAGCGTAATGGCTATGTCGCTGGACTCCCATGTAGTCGACCGCAGTTCGAGTCCTGGACCCGGTGGCTTAAACTCATGCCAGGCGCGTGTGCATGTGTGCCCAAGATCCCGAGAGGAGAATGGAGGAGAAGGGATTGCAGCATGGCCATCCCCCCCGGGGGATGATTTCTCGCTTTCTGTCTCTCTGTCTCTGTCTTTCTGGCGAGTGGATGTGCCCTGTAGCAAGAACCTCTCAAAAAGGCCAGCAGGTAGAGTTGTAGTTAAGGTGCTGAACTCCCCCACATGGTCGACAGATTCGACCCAGTTCGAATCTGGGATCCAGAGGCTTGAAAATCACAGCAAGTTTGTGCACATGCATGCCCAAAATCCTGAGAGAAGAGTGGAGGAGAAGTGGATGATTTCCCACTTTCTCTCTCCTCGCTGGAGGGTATACCCGCTCTACAGCAAAAAAAAAAAAAAAAAAAAAAAAAAAAAGAAGCACCCTATGAACTAGTAAGAAAAATATGCAAAGTAGGAAAAATACATAAATACAGTGAAAGGAAGAATGTAACTATAGTTCATTCTAGGCTAGTGTTTAGACATACATTGAAGTGTAATTCAAGAAAGAAAGATATTTCAGAAAGAGTGGGTTTCAAATGCTCATGAAAATCAGTTATATGTTAAGGTTAAAAATAAATGATTGCAAGTATTCTTACAGAGCCTTCCTCCTATTAGTATAGTTATGAGATTTATCTTTATTTTGTTACTGAAAGCATTGCATTTAGTGTTTAAGAGATACTTTAATTCTGTTTCCTCCCAGAATAATTTACATGTTTCCCCCTCTTCTCTCTCACAGCATCTGAAAGTCTGCTGTTACTTGTGGCAAATCGGAACCAGATTGTTGCAGACAATATCACTGCCCAGGTCCACAATATCTATCCCTTGGTCCAGAATGGTTCTCACATTGTAGCTGTTGATTTTGATTCCATCAGTGGTCGTATTTTCTGGTCTGATTCAGGTCAGGGTAAAACCTGGAGCGCTTTTCAAAATGGAACAGACAGAAGATTGGTAAGTAGGTTTCTGCTGACCTTTGGCCTGACTGATTCTCTTGCCTTGGGTCTATCTGCTGTTTTTTCACAAGTGAGTGATGGCCCTACCTCAACCTGAGTAGCTCTCATAGGCTCTTCTGGGTCACATCACACCCGAGAGTTCTGGATGTGTAGAACTCCTACTCTTTTGAGTGTTTTAGAAGAGAGTGTGGGGACCAGCAGATGGTGTAATGGTTATGTTGCTGGACTTCGATGTAGTCAACTGCAGTTAGAGTCTCAGACCTGGCATCTTAAAACTGATGCTGGGTGCATGTGCTTGTGGACCCAAAATCCTGAGAGGAGAATGGAGGAGAAGGGATTGGGGTGTGGCCATCCCCCCTTGGAGGTGGTTTCTTGCTTTCTATCTCTCTGTCTCTCTCTTTTTCTCCATCGCGAGCACATGTGCTCTATAGCAAAAATCTCTCGACAAAAAAAGAAGAAAAAGAAGAGGTGAATGTGGTTTCTGATGGCAGAGCCATGATTCTGAATTCTAGGTAATGTGACACAGAGACTTTACATTGTCCTGAGATCTCTTTTGCAGTCTCTTCTATTGGATGAGAGCAAAGGAAAATACAGGAGAGTCAAAAGGTTGCTTTTCTTACCTTGAATTTAATAGTTTAATTTATTTATTTGTTTGTTTATTTTTGAGAGAGATTTTTGCTGCAGGGCATGTGCGCTTGCTGGAGAGACAGAGAGATAGAGTTCAGTGGCTGCAATCTCCCCTTCTCCATTCTCCTCCAGGGATCTTGGGCGGACATGCTCACATGTGCCTGGTGGTTCTGAAACCACAGGCTCCAGACTTGAACTGTGGTCAGCCATGTGGGAGTCCAGCATGGTCAGCCATGTGGGAGTCCAACAGAGCTGCCATGCTATCTGCTGGTCCCAGTAGTTACATTTCTTTAATTCACCGACTGGAATTTTGGTTTCTTGACTCCTGATAGTTGTGCTTCCTCTGCCCCTTAGAACTTTATTTTGTAATCGTTGGCACTTAATCAATAAAAATATTACTCTTGGCATGAAACATTATAAAGTTTCATAAGGCTGCCAACTTAGCAAATGATGTAGAGCTTTTTTTAAAATTTACAATATAGAGCTTTTTATAAAAGTTTTTTGCTGTAAGGCATTTGTGCTCTCCAGAGACAGAGAGAATGAGGAAGAGAGAGAGCGAGCAAGAGAAAGCACAAACCAGGGGCATGGCCATGTTGCAATTCCTTCTTCTCCATTGTCCTCTTGGGATTTTGGGCAGACATGCACAGGCACCCAGCATGGCTTTCAGTCAAGCCATGGGGTCTGAGACTTAAACTGTGCTGTAGGTCATGTGGGATCTAGCCACCATAACAACCACACCACTAGCTAATTCTTGATAAAGCTTTTAAATTTTTGAATTTTTGAAACCAGAATGACTACACACTAATAAAATAGAGTTATTATTTTTGAATATTCACCACTAAAAATCTTGTGTATTTTCCTCAGAAAATCCTACTATTGATTTAGTGATTAACTACATGGGAAGATAGAATTTTTCTTTTTTTTCCTTCCTTCCTTCTTTCCTTCCTTCCTCTTTCTTTCTTTCTTTCTCTCTCTCTTTCTCTCCCTCCCTCCCTCCCTCTCTTTCTTTCTTTCTTTCTCTCTCTCTTTCTCTCCCTCCCTCCCTCCCTCTCTTTCTTTCTTTCTTTCTCTCTCTCTTTCTCTCCCTCCCTCCCTCCCTCTCTTTCTTTCTTTCTTTCTCTCTCTCTTTCTCTCCCTCCCTCCCTCCCTCTCTTTCTTTCTTTCTTTCTCTCTCTCTTTCTCTCCCTCCCTCCCTCCCTCTCTTTCTTTCTTTCTTTCTCTCTCTCTTTCTCTCCCTCCCTCCCTCCCTCTCTTTCTTTCTTTCTTTCTCTCTCTCTTTCTCTCCCTCCCTCCCTCCCTCTCTTTCTTTCTTTCTTTCTCTCTCTCTTTCTCTCCCTCCCTCCCTCCCTCTCTTTCTTTCTTTCTTTCTCTCTCTCTTTCTCTCCCTCCCTCCCTCCCTCTCTTTCTTTCTTTCTTTCTCTCTCTCTTTCTCTCCCTCCCTCCCTCCCTCTCTTTCTTTCTTTCTTTCTCTCTCTCTTTCTCTCCCTCCCTCCCTCCCTCTCTTTCTTTCTTTCTTTCTCTCTCTCTTTCTCTCCCTCCCTCCCTCCCTCTCTTTCTTTCTTTCTTTCTCTCTCTCTTTCTCTCCCTCCCTCCCTCCCTCCCTTTCTTTCTTTCTTTCTTTTTTTCTTTCTTTCTTTCTCCCTTTCTTTCTCTTTCTCTCTTCCTTCCTCCCTTTCTTCCTCTCTCTCTTTCTTTCTTCTCTCTGTCTCTCTCTCTTTCTTTCTCTTCTATAGATTGTGTTTGCTTGCCAGAGAGAGAGGGAGAAAGTGAGAAATCACTTCTTCTAAGGGGGATGGCCATGCCACAGTACCTTCTCCTTTATTCTCCTCTTGGGATTTTGGGCATACATGTACATGGATTGGGTGTGATTTTTAAGCCTTTGGGTTTGAAACTCAAACCACTTGGTTGACCATGTGGGACCTAGCATCTTAACCTCCATACTCCCTGGTGGCGTGGGAAGACAGAATTTTCTAATTCCTACAAGCAAACACAGAATAAGTTAGATGTCTTATTTAGGTTTCATATAATTTCCATGTTTGCATTTAATCATTCTCTTTAGAATTCACTCTTGATGCACTTTTGTCTTTAGGTATTTGACAGTAGTATCACCATGACTGAAACTATCGCAATAGATTGGATAGGACGTAATCTTTACTGGACAGACTATGCTACGGAAACAATTGAAGTCTCCACAATTGATGGGAGCCACAGGACCGTGCTAATTAGTAAAAACCTAACAAATCCCAGGGGACTAGCATTAGATCCAAGAATGAAGTAAGCCTTTTTGCCTTTTTAAAAAAATGTTGCTTTGCATGGTTATAATGAGAGCAAAACCACAAAAACTTGATGTAACTGGTATGCTTACTGGAAAATTTTTAATGATCTCTTCTGTAAAAATGGTCAGCATCTGACTGGTTGTTACTGTCTTTCCTGTATCTGAATAGTCTTTTCTGTAAAGTACAGGAGAACAATTAGCTGTTCACTTTAAGATCCCATTGGTTTATTATTAGGTTGTTGGGAAAGTTGTGACATACTTTTCTATGTAAAAATGCATCATTACTTTCCCGATGACCCAATTGTTTCGTAGTATAATTATCAAAATGATTGTTGTATGGGTTTCTAATTAGTGCACATAGTCACGTTCTGCAGTTGGGCAGTTTGTTGTAACATTGATACGGCATGATTATATAATAAAAATGTCAGATTTTTCTGCATCAGTTTCATGTCATTTACGAGAACTTCCTTTTAAGTTGTATAAGAAAGAAATTTTTTTGCCTGCTGGGGTAACGGGAGAAAAGAGAAATTCTCCAATGTGTTTAAATACCTTTGAGATTTTCCTTCCTTGAATTTACTTAGATTCTATAACTTAGGTTCTTTTTTGTAGGATGATGAATTAGGAGAGTTATTTTCAATGTGACGCACTTTCCTAGATATTTTAAAGTATTATACACCAGTGAAACTATTGACAAAACTCGAAGAAAGAATAAATTAATTCTCTTATTTATACCACGACAAGGTAGACAAACCAGGACAGATGGATTTTTCTAGGTCAACTTTTTGTGGATTATACACAAACATTAATTGGCATTAGACATTTCTTTTTTAAAAATTTTATTTATTTATATTAATTTCACATTTTGTAGGAAAGTCCCTGTCAGGATGTATACGATATGTATGTGTATGTGTGTGTGTGTGTGTGTGTGTGTGTGTGTGTGTGTGTATGTATTTAACAGAGAACTTTACATTTTTTTATCTGTCAAATGTATCTGATACCCACCCTCTACTACCTATTCTCTACCATCTTCTTTCCCCCCTTATGATCTCTAGCATTCACAACTATCTTCTTCACCATCCCGTCACCGGATCTCTCAACCTCTGCCATAGAGTGCAGACACTTGGTACAAACTGAGTGGGGATATACAATATGTATATACAATATGATATACTATATGTATCTTTTAATGTCTGTCTCATGTCACTCAACATTAAGTCTTTTATATTCATCCACTTTTTTAGAAAATAATTATTTTATTTAACTTTATTTATTTATTTTAATTTGATCAGAGAGAAAGTGAGAAAGCAAGCCACCAGGTCTGGGACTTGAACTGCAATTGGCCACATGGGAGTCCATTGCCCTTGGGAGAGCATGCCAACTGCTGGCTCCTATATTCATCCACTTTGAGTCAAATGATAGGATCTCTTTTTTTTTTTTTCCTATGGCTGAGTAATATTTCATAGTATACATGCCAATATCATCATGTTCTGCATGTTTTATGAATGTTATAAAAGTGGCTTGTGATGGCATTATGATTACAGTTTAACTTTGTGACACTCAGAAGGCATAAGCTCTCTGCATATATTCTGAACTGGAGAAGATTTATTTTAAGCTGCATAAACTGGATGTTGCATTATTTAAAATGATACAGAGTATTTTTCAGATTGAAATATGTACCCTTAGGAATGGCAGGTGGCATGGTCGTTGAGGTGCTGAACTCCCACATGGCTGACCATGGTTCAAGTCCTGGGCCCAGTGGCTTGAAAATCGCAACAGATAAATAGATAAATAAATAATAATTGTTAAAAAAAAGTCCCCTCCAATTGGTAACTAATTTTATTTCACAGTGAGCATGTACTATTCTGGACTGACTGGGGCCGTCACCCTCGTATTGAGCGAGCCAGCATGGATGGCAGCTTGCGCACTGTCATTGTCCAAGAGAAGATCTACTGGCCCACTGGCTTAACTATCGACTACCCCAACAGACTAATTTACTTTATGGATTCCTACCTTGATTTCATAGACTTTTGTGATTATGATGGACAGCATCGGCGGCAGGTGATAGCCAGTGACTTGGTAAGTTGGTAATGAGAAGAACCAAATTAAAACCACAGTAGTGGCTGGGTGGGAAGTATCAAGAAAACTAAGAAATTGTTTTGTGTATTATAGACATTGTCAGGTCAGTCTAGGAAATAATCAACAATATTGAAGGGCCATCCATCTTCTATTACTAACAGGAAAATAAACATGTGTATTCTGGGTCATGGTTCTATTGTGCTGTATCTAAGAAGTATGAATAGCTCATATGATTTAGTTGATCTATAGATGCTCATCTGTGGCTTCTATACCTTTAAAAGTTGAGGGTAGCAGGTGACATGGTGGTTGGGGTGCTGGACTCCCACACGGCTGGCAGTGGTTCGAGTCTCAGACCTGGCATCTTGCCTTCTCACTTTCCCTTTCTCTCACACTCTCTCTGTCTCTTTGGTTAAGTTGAAAATAAATAAATAAATAAATAATAATAACAAATAAAATTAGAATAAGCAAATAATTTTTAAAAATCTTTAAAAGTGGTATTAAGCAAAAATGAATAATTAGCCAAATTTACATTTCTCAATGAAATCATAACCTGTTATGTAGTTAGTATTTTTTATTCAATAAATTCTGTAGAGTTTGTTTTTGCACGTTAAATGGGCAAATATAGAAGATACATATTTTGCCCAAGAGCTGTTAGAGACTTGATTTAAGATTGCCATCATTTTTTTAGTTTCTTGAGGACACTGGGAGGGCCTCTTTCCTGTTGATAAATATGCTCCTAAGCCAGAAGCTTGATGTTAATCAATGAGAGGTGGAAGAATGTGATGGAAATAACACCAGACAGGAGTGGGAAAAAATGGAGTGGAAGCTGGGACTGGACCATTTGGAGATGAGGAACCTCTAAATAGGATTTTAAAGTCCTTGTCTCTCACTAATAGGGGCTCCAGATACATTGCCTTATTCTCTGTAACTAAGCTTCATTTTCATTTGTAAAATGAATGCTTGGTACAATTATCAGAGTAAACATGAAGAATAAGTAACGTGTTGTGTCTGCAAGTATTTTGAGTGGTATAGTGGGATATAGAACAAATGGTATGGTTCCCCCCCCCCCATCTCTTGCACCTATCTCTTCCTTGTGTCTTTATTAAATAATCAATGCTAAAAGAAATTAAAAGAAATTTTCTTGAGCAGATACCTTCTTACACTTAGTTTGCCTTGGCTTTTGAAACTTCTTTTCTTAGAGAGATTTTTGCTATAGGGCACGTGCACTAGCCAGAGAGACAGAGAAACAGAGACACAGAAAGGGAGAAATCACCCCGAGAGGGGATGGCCACACTGCAATATCTGTTCCTCCCTTCTCCTTTTGGGTTTTTGGGCACTCACGCCCACGTGCCCAGTGTGAGTTTTAAGCCACCAGGTATGGGACTCAAACTGTGGTTGACTACATGGGAGTCCAGCAACGTAGCCATTACGCCACCTGCTGGTCCCAGAATAACCTTTTTCTTTTTAATTTCTCCAGAGTGTCTATGTGCACGTGTCTTCTGGAACATACCTGAGGAACATGTTTCCTGACAGGAAGGAGAATCTCCCAGGGTCTCCCCAAGAAATTATAAAATAATGTCAAGAGAAAGAAAGAGAGAGAGAGAGAGAGAGAGAGAGAGAGAGAGAGAGAACCTTTTACTGGCACATGGTCATGCTCAATCCTTTTCTCCTTCCATTTCTCCATTCTGTTAGGATTTGGCCTATACACCCACGTGCCCCTGGCATGTTTTTTCAAGCTGCTGGGATTGAGATTTGAACCATGGTCGGCCAAGTGGGATTGGGCTCCCTTAGCCACTGTGCTACAGGGCCAGCTCTGCCTTGACTTCTGTTTCTGGGTGAGATTTCATTTTCTTTACTGCTTCACAGGTTATACGGCATCCCTATACACTAACCCTCTTCGAAGATTCTGTATACTGGACGGATCGTGCGACTCATAGGGTTATGCAAGCCAACAAGTGGCATGGAGGAAATCGGTCAGTTGTGATGTACAATATTCACTGGGCTCTGGGGCTTGCAGCCATTCATCCCGCGAAACAACCGAACAGTAAGTGATTCCGAGAAACCTGCCTGCGGAGAGCTTGGAAGTCAGTGATTCTGGGAATGCCAAATGCACACTCGCAGACCCATTTGTTGGGGCAATAAATGTTTCTTTTTCTTTACTGAGCACCTCACTCCACATTTTTCCCAGTCCTAGCCATGCCATTATTTTTAACTACCACAGGAAACTCAAACTTTGTATGTAAGAACAGCACATCTGAATTGTTTCATTTTCTTTAGCAATTGGCTACTCCCTCTGTGATCTTTTCTTTAAAAAATTATTTAATTTAATTTTATTCATTGTTGTTATTTTATTTTATTTTTTGAAGTTGACCAGAGAGAGATAGAGAGAGAGAGAAGAAGGAAAGTGAAAGTAAGCTGCCAGGTCTGGGACTTGAACCACAGTCAGCCATGTGTGAATCCAGCCACCTTAACCACTAGGCCACCTGCCAGTCCCACTTCTGTAATCTCTATTTGAGTCTCAGTTTCCTGAGCTGACAAACATAGTCTAGACCAGATAAGACCTTAGGTACACTGTGGCTTAATATGGCTTATTTTTAGGGCTCATTTATTACGACAGCTTTGCTTTGTTGGTGCTCTTCTGTGGCCACTCCAAGTCACCCTGGAGTGTGTGGTATGGGTGCTGGGTGATCTGAAAATTTGGCTTTGGTGGCTGTTTTGGGAAGAGAGGCTGTAAGTTACTTAACCATCAGTTCACCTCTTTTCAAAACCCTCTAGTGGTTTCTCATCACACTTCAGATTCTGGCCTCTTCTTCCACTTCCTCTTACCACACCGGGCTTCATTATGGCTGGAAGCCTGGTGTGGTAAGAGGAAAAGTAGAAAAGTAGAAAAGTAGCCTGCTACTTCTCACCTCGGAACTTTTGCACTAGGGCTTTGTTCTTTTTGCCTAGAATATCTCTCCTCCCATTTTTCCTTCACGTCCTTTGGAGTTCTTTTCAAATGTCACTTTCTCGAAGATGCCCTCTTTTACCACCTGACCTAAAGTAGCTGCCTTAAAATTCTCTTGGTCTTTATCCTTACATTCTAAAATTGTGTGTACACACTCATACACACTTTATGAGTTTAGTTCCGCGTCTTGTTTCTAGAATATATATTCCATTATTGTATCCCCAGTGCTTAGAATGGTATTTGGGTGAATGAATGGATTAACAATCTGATGTGGTGTATGTAATAAGAACATAGAGGTCCCCAAATCCTGAGAGAATGAGATAGAAAAGATTTTGGCATGGCCATGCCCGCTGGAGAGTCATTTCTCACTTTCCTTCTCTCTGTCTCTCTCTGGAGAGTGCATGAGTCTCGTGGCAAAAAACAAAAACAAAAAACAAACAAGAAAGCAAAGCAGACCTACAATGTCCTGTGAGCTTGTGATGCACACAAGATCTATTTTTCCAAGGAGCAGAGACACACAGATAGTATCGGTAGAAAAGTAGCAGAATATTATCTAGCCCAAACTTGGACAGCACTGGGTAAATGTCAAGGTCATAGAGGGAACACTAAGTCTGTTTTCACTTAATGCAAAAAAGATCTCTTTTAGGTCAGGGCGGGAGACATATTAGCCTCATATTTCTGTTACTACAGTTCAGGTTATTCAGTAGTTGTTCATAATCGGGTTATAGATCAGATTTATTTGTGACCTTGGGTAAGTTGCCTTTCTCTCTTATGAATTTTATGCTGAAAGCACGATGCTAGGAAAGGGTAGTTTAGGAAAATAGGACAGAACAACAACAACAACAAAAACAAAACACAGAGGTAACTTAGCGTACTTGTGTCCCCAAATCCTGGAGCCCTCTGGGAGGACAATAGCATGAATCTATGTACTCTGATGTGGGAGGTTTTCCATTCACTGATGTTTATTCTTTCTCACACAGGTACGAATCCGTGTGCCTCTGCCTCCTGCAGCCATCTTTGCCTGCTCTCCTCGCAGGGACCTAAGTTTTATTCCTGTGCCTGTTCTTCAGGATGGAGTCTCTCTGATGATTCTGTGAATTGTGTGAGAGGTATACTATGCTTTTTAAGTGTGCTCTGAAGATGGAGCTTGTTGTCATTTGTACCGAGCCATGGAAACGCTAAACCCGTTTGCAACTGAACTTGCGTTCCTTTTGATTCAGCAGGTGTCCGCAGGGTGTGTGCTGTCTGGGCACTTCAGCCGAGGTGTACTTTCTGTGTATGGAGATGACATTATCTATGTGTATCAGTGAACAGTCTTTAAACTCCTATTTTTTCTCACTTGGCTTTTCAGTTAGACTTTTATATTAGCTAGGCTAGTGAGGAGTTCAAAATTCTGCTTACCAGAAATTAAAAAATGTTGGACCAGCCAATGTCATGGTGCTTAAGGCAGCTGGATGCCACATGGCTGAATGTATGGTTTGAGTTATGGACCCAATGGCTTGAAAAAAACATTGGGTGCGTGTGTGTGCGTGTTCAAAATCCTGAAGGGAGGGAAAAATGGAGCAGAAGGGGTTGTACCATGACTATGCCCCAATGAGGAGAGGTGCTTTCTCACTTTCTCTCTCTCTCTCTGTCTGATGAGCATACACACCCACTAACAAAATTTAAAAAAATTAAAAAAAGAAGTGAAAATACTTGACATTTGAGTATGGCATCATATGTTAGGTCCATTGTCTCATTTTTGTTTTTTATAGCCAGTAGTTGAGTGTTTTGGTCTGGGTCTTCTGTTCTGACTCCTGCTTCAGTACTTTTACTGTTACTCTCTGATACTTTAAAATATCTCTATATGAAATACTCTAAGTGGCTATTTGAGCAATTTAATTTTCATCCAAGAGATATTTTGCTGTTTGATTGGAATATATGTGCTGGAATATATATGAAATATTTTAGGGAGTAAGAAAGAAAGAAAAAGATACATACAAAAAGGATTTCTTCTGGCATGTATACTTGTGCATTATAAACTGTTATTTAAAAAAATCACTCTCTAGTGCTTAAAAATTATAAAAAGTTACTCTAAAACAAAATTTCTTTCATTTCCTGTGAAGAGGAGTGAATATGTTTTGAAACTGATAAAAATTGCTCTGGACAAGTTGAAATGAAATATTTAATGATAACATATTCTTGAAGTAAGAGATCTAACCCCTGGGGAAATTTAGTTTTCAAATGGAAAATACATACTGAGCCCAGGAAATTTACAGTGTTTACAGATTATGCAGATATAGACTTACCGAAAATCAAATTCCGTCTCATGTAATATTGGGCAATGATACTTTCATGATGAAAGATTTTAATTATTGGTAATGCGTACAAAGGGATCGGCATTAGCCATTTTTCTTCAGAGACTTATTATGCACCTAATCCTTGTTGACACTGTTTAATTTAGTATGTCCTCAGAGTCTTTCAGGAGAAGATTAAACTGGGCTGTAGACGTTTTGGATACAAAGCGTTCTTTCATCGCACAAAGATTTTTGAACTGTGCTATGAGGATTGATGTAATCAATATTACTCTTTGATGGTGATTGATAAGTGTTATCTGTAAATAGTACTTTCTGTTGTTTCACAGATAATGCCACTGAATGTTTCCCCTTGGGTTGACTTGACGGAGATGGCACTTTGCAGTATTTCCCGAAGTTTCTGAGCACCAGTTAGGAAATGAGTGTCAGGGTACACTAGCTAAAACAAAGGCTGCACTTTTCTTACTGTTTTCCCAATGAGATATTTGGAAGACATGAGCATTTATAGATGAAAACATGGTGTTTGACGTAATCGTTCAATAACTTTTAAAATAGTGTTTATTGAGTGTCTGGAATATCTTTGGAGGGCTTCTGTGATACTGGCAAGTGAAAAAGCATCCTTATAAAAATGTGAATTAAGTCCATAAGAAAACTCACATGAGTGCTAACAGTGACTACAATTGGAGAGGGGAATTTGGGATGTTTTTATTTTTCCTTATTTTATGTTATAAGGTTTTAAAATGAGAGCTTCTTCCGTATGCATGTGCTTTTTATTCCTTAGAAAATGTATTCCCAGGACCAGCAGATGGCGTAATAGTTACATTACTGGACTCCTTCATGGTTGACTGTGGTTCGAGTCCTGGACCTGGCAGCTTAAAATTGACACCGGGAGCGTATGTGTGTGTGCCCAAAATCCTGAGAGGAGACTGGAGGAAAAGGGATTTTGGTGTGATCATCCTCCCAGGGAGTGATTTTTCACTTTCTCTCTCTCTCTCTTTGGCGAGTGCATGTGTCCTATAGCAAAAATCTCTCTCTCTCTCTCTCTCTCTCTCTCTCAAAAAAAAAAAAAAGCATTCCCCATAATTCCAAAAATAAACAGAACTCAGGCCAAACATCTCCCAGCAACTCCTTCAAGTAGCCTCAAATCCACAGTCAGCTTCTGTCTCAGTCTAAAGGGCATGAGGCCTTTGCATCAGTGATTATGTGCAAAATAAGAAGATACCCGTAGTCCTTCCTTCAGGAAAGGCTGTGGTATGGAGCAGTTTGTCCAGGGTGTGACAAAGGAGGACCTGGGTGCAGGTGCCATAAATATCACCCTTTAGTCACCACACTTCTTTTCTTTTTTTTTTGGAGAGGTTTTTGCTACAGGGTGTGTGTGCTCGCCAGACAGACAGAGAGAGACAGAGAGACAGAAAGCGAGAAATCACCCCCTAGGGGGGATGGCCACGCCGCAATCCCTTCTCCTCCATTTTCCTCTCGGGATCTTGGACACGCACGCACACGTGCCCGATGTGAGTTTAAGCCACCAGGTCTGGGACTCGAACCGCGGTCGACTACGTGGGAGTCCAGCAACATAGCCATTACGCCAACTGCTGGTCCCACCACACTTCTTTTCCTCTCCTAACTAGGTCTTTTCTCTTTTCTGCTCTGCTGACACTAACCTTAATGAGATGATGACATGGAAAATAGGAATAGAGATGGTTCTTAATTTTGAAAGACTCAGACACACTGATCTAGGACAGCTTAACTCTCATTCTGCTAAGCTTTGTTCCCACCACCTCTAGGGCTTCTAGTTCCTCCTCCTTCAGGCCATTATCGTAGTGAATCATAGGGGCCTAGACTTGGTCTTGCCCTCTAGATGCCACATTGCTGGAGGGTAATGCACTCAGTAAATGTTGAGTGAATGGCAAGTTCTTTAATATCCTTTGTTGCTCCTTCCCAGTCCTGTGTTTTTCACATGCCCTCCTGTGCCACCTGTTGTGTCACTAGTGACTTCCTTTTTGGTGTTGTTCTGGCATTGTCTCGCACTGCAGCTCTCATACTTCCAGCCAAGGCAGAATTAAATGATATCCTATTCTTATGCCCAATTAAACAAAAAGAAAGATTACCCACTAAAAAAGACAATATTCTTCTTCTTTTTAAATGTCAATGTGTGTGTGTGTGTGTGTGTGTGTGTGTGTGAGAGAGAGAGAGAGAGAGAGAGAGAGAGAGAGGGAGAGAGAGAGAGAGAGAGACAGAAATGAGGGGAGAGAGAGAGAATCTCCCAATGATGTCTGGTCATGTCACAATCCTTCTTCCTCCAGTTTTCCATCCTGTCAGGATCCTGAGCATGTTGCCTCTGGGGTTGGGATTTGAACCCTAGTCAGCATATGGAATCCAGCCTCCTCTACCTAGTGCTTAACTGTTATACTACCAGGCCAACTCAGTTTTAAAATCCTTTGAAATTAAGATGAAACTGTATTGTAATCCAGAAAAAGAGTTATCTTTGAATATTCACTACCAGAAAATCTTATGCATTTTATCCAGAAAACCCTACTGTTAATTTGGAGATTAGCTACAGGAAAGACATGCTCAGTGTGTTTTCAAAGTTACAGAGGCTGGGACTCTCAAACCCTGGTTGGCCATGTGTGATCCGGTTTCCTCTGCATAATGCTTAACTGCTGCACTGTGGGGCTGGCCCCAGTCTCAGGTTTTAATGGGTAAAGTTTGACATTTCCCTGTAAAACTGGAAAAGTTCTTGTTTTTACTGAAACAATTGACACTTACAACATATAATCAGTATAACTAAATATCATCTCAATAGAATTTCAAAGTACATCTGAAACTCATGGTATAGCTTTCAATTTTTATTGCAGTTGGAACAAATAAAATGAGTGGTGATTTGGTATTCAATAAGTAGTATCTGGCTTGCACTTGTTGTGAAGTCGTGATGAGGAACAGATTTTGGTGTCTGAGAGACCTGGTTGTGTGCCATTGGGTAAATTGCTTAATTTCTTTGTGTCTCATTTGTAAGTTGGGAGAGTTATCTTTAAAAACAAACAAACAAACAAATTACAAAGCTTCAGGGGGATAAATTTAATGGGATAATGTATGCTGTGTGGCACATATTAAAGATGGTCTTTGAGAGCCTCTCACTTCCAGCTTCCTCCTCCACCATCATTCCCGGCCCCTGTGGGGTAGCAGTGGCAGCCAATTCTCTCTGAGGCCAGAGATTGCCTTGGGAACTCCACTGTCTCCTGACCACTTCTGGGAAACTGCTTTAGACCTCTAGCTGCCTTTTTGCCCACTCAGGAATACTTTCAATTTCATAGTTTCCTGAAGCTTCACAGCCCCTTTTTTCCTTAGCTGAAACCCTGCAACTCAGCCCCAGGTGCACCTGTTCTCAGGAAACTGGGAGGCCATTGGAATATGCAGTTCCAGTGACAATAGTGCAGCTTGTAGGTTGAGCATCAGGAAGCTGGACCTACAGAGAGGTTATGGTTCACCTCCTTCTGCACACCTTTTAACACTCAGAATTAACTCCAAGATATTAGGAAGAAATGAATAATTCATCAGATGACCAGACACCAGTGCAAAAAGCAAAAGAAATATGACGTAGAAATGTCAGATAAACAATTCACAATATTCATAGTGACAAAACTAAATGAGATGCAAGAGATGAGAGACAACAAATGCCAGATGGTGCAAGAGGAAAGAGACAATGAGTTTCAGGAAATGAGGAAGCTCCTTCCATGGTTTGAAAGAAGAATTAGCATAAAAAAGAATCAAATGGAATGGTTAGAGATGAAGACTGTAATACAGGTAATCACAACTCCCCCTAAAAGTATTAAAAGAAGATTAGATCATGCAGAAGATTGAATCTTGGATGTAGAAGACAAAACGTATGACCTAGGGGAAAAAAAAATCACCCAGAAGACTGAAAAAGTAACTAAAAAAAAATGAGGACAATATATGAGAAATACTAGATACTATTAAATGCCCAAACATCTGAATAATTGGTATCCCAGAAGGTGAAGAAATTAATAAGGGCATTGGTAGTCTACTTCATGAAATCCTGGGAGAAAATGTTCCAAGTCTAGAGAAGCACTCAAACATACAGACCCAAGAAATACAAAAGACCCCCAAATAGAATCAACCCAAGAAGATCTTCTCCATGGCACATCATAGCCAGACTGGCCAGAACCACAGATAAAGACAAGATACTAAGATTGGCTAGAGAGAAACATCAATTACTTACAAAGATTATCCCATCAGGCTAACATTGGACTTCTTACCAGAAACAATGCAAAGACGGAAAGAATGGGACAATATATTTCAAAGTGTTACTAGAGAAACAATTTCAACCAAGATTACTATACCCAACAAGATTATCCTTCAAATGGGAAGAACAGATAAAAACATTCTCAGATAAAGATGATCTTTAAATGGAGGGTGATTATTGTTATTTTTTAAGATATTTATTTAATTTCATTTGTTATTATTTTTGACTAGAGAGAGACAGAGGTAGAGGTAGAGGGGAGAGAGAGAGAGAGAGAGAGAGAGAGAGAGAGAGAGAGAGAGAGAGAGGGAGAGGAGGGAGAGAACAGTCAAAAAGCAAGTTACCAATTTCTTCAAGAGAGAGAGAGAAAGAGAGAGAGAAAATGAGAAAGCAAGCCACCACGTCTGGGACTCAAACCATGGTCGACCATGTGGGAATCCAGTGCCTTTAACTACTATGCCACCTGTTGGGCCGAATGGAGGGTGATTATTAAGGCCATTGCAGTTGTTTGGAAGAGAGGCAGTGTGGAACAGTAGAGGGAGCAAGATTTGAAATAAAAAATAGTCCAGGGTTCTTGTCTTATTATGTTGTTTCCTGCCCAAATTCCAGTTCCTGCAAGTATCATTTACCCCAGCTGAAAACAACTTGACAATCTTTTTGTGAAAGACGAAATCCTATATATGGCATTATATAGGATTTATAAATACAAGGCATTAAAATTGTAAAGTTTATATGAAACTAAATTTAAATTTGTACTAGAGTAACAAATGCATTTACCTTTATTTACTTTTATTGAGTTATTTCTCAGCAATAAAAATGACAGGAACAAGGAAAAGCTAATGAGCTACAAACACAAAGAAAAAAATAAAAATAATTCTGCTGAAGATGCAAAGCTTCCTAGATCATCAAAATAATAGAAAACACTTTTTAGTTCATGAAAGCTGTGTAATGATTAGTCTTTTTTTTTTTTTTGTAGTGATGTATGTGCTTGCCAGAGAGAGAGAGAGAGAGAGAGAGAGAGAGAGAAAGTGAGAAAGCATTCCTAAGAGGAAGATGGCCATGCCACAATCCCTTCTTTCTCTTCTCTGGGTTTTGGGCATGAATGTACATGTACCTGGAGTGTTTTTCAAGCCTCTGGTTCTGGGACTTGAACTGTATGATTGGTCATGTGGGATTCAGCTGCCTTAACCACCATACCACTGGTGTGGATACTTTGTATACAGTCATTGTATACTTTGTCTTAATATGTGATATATCTTATATACCTCTCTTAATAACACACAACTGTACATTAAAATTTTTTTCTCAAAGAGAAATTTAAAAATTAAGCTCCACATTTGAATTTTATTAATTTAGTTTTTTTATGATACTTTAATCAGGATAAAGTTTACAGTATTATTGTTTTTTAGAGAGGGATTTTTGCTGTAGGACACACACACTCACCCATGAGACAGAGACAGAGAGACAGAAAATGAGACAATCCTCCCCCTCCCCCAGGGTGGATGGCCACGCCCCAGTCCCTTCTCCTCCATTCTCCTCTTGGGATTTTGGTTATGCATGCACATGTGTCTGGCATGAGTTTTAAGACACCGGGTCCAGGACTTGAACCACAGTCAACTATATGGGAATCCAGGGCCTTAACCACCATGTTACCTGCTGTCCACAAGTTTATGTTGTATTTTAAAACAGAACTTTGGTTAGCTCTTGAGAATAAAGGAAACTAATAATATAAATAATATATTATAGAGATGTTTAAATTACAATGTGTAGATACTTTAGAAGACTATTTACTATATTTGCTTATGTATGAATTTGTTTTTTTTTTTCCAGTCATGTGTTTATTCATTAACAACTATTTATTGGGCAACTATTTATGCCAGGCTCTGTTCCAGACTCTGGGGTACAATAGTGAGCAAATCAGACACAGTGACTGTCTTCTGGGAATTTGGATTTGGTGGGAAAGACACACTAGTCAAATAACCATTGATGGCATTATCAGTATAATTTGTGGATTGATTTAAGTCCTTCATAAATAGTAGACAATACTATGTAGGGTTGTTTTGTTCTCTGAATATGCTTAAAGCTAGTAAGCTGCCACTCACCAAGAATTGTCTAAAAGTTTTCCTTCACCTTGTTCTGTGCAAAACCCAAGTTGTCTTTTCCTGAGTTATTCGGTAATCGTGAGGTTGGCTTGTGCACAGAAATGGAAGAGCTTTCTTCATGTGAAGTTGATCAAACATGAATGGTTTATCAGCATAAGTGAGGGATTAATAAAGAGTAAGGCACATGCTAACCTGCTTGGAAAATTGTTACCTGGCAACCCACTGCGACCTTCCAGAAAGCCCATGTGTGTCTGATGAAATATCTACCGTGCTTTGTATTGCTCCAATGCTGCAATGGCACCTTAAGCCATAGGATGATATAATCCGCTGCCTTTCATTTTTGTCCTTTCTGTCTGGTAATAATGGGGTATCATTTTGACGATGTTCTGCTATCTTCACAGATGAACAACCTTTCCTAATTACTGTAAGACGCCATACGGTTTACGGAATCTCCCTTGATCCTGAGGTGAAGAGCAGTGATGCTATGGTTCCCATAACAGGAATACAGAATGGCTTTGATGCTGACTTTGATGACTCAGAGCAATTCATCTATTGGGTTGAGAATGCAGTAAGTTCTGAATAACATTCCAAAAATACAATTTATTCTCGAAGAGCATACCTGTACCAATTGCTTCTTATATTCAAACCTTTGTTGGGTAGGTAAAAGGGAAATGGTCCAGAAATTAATTTAGCACCCTTTTTGGACTCAGTGAGGGATGTCAGTATTAACTGGCCTGGAACAAAGATCAAAAAACTTAAAAAAAAAAAAGAAAATTGCTTTAGGGCACATGTGCTTGCTGAGTGAGACAGAGAAAAGGAAAATGAGAAAGCACCTTCTTACCCCAAGGGGATTGCCATGACACAATCCTTTCTCCATTCTCTGAGAATTAGGATTTGGGATGGGTGTGTCCGGCATCTTTTCCAAAACTACCAAGTCTGATACTTAAAACATGGAGTTGGCAAAGTGGGATCCATCCACATTAACCACCATGCCACCTGGCTGGTCCCAAAAACTGTGTAGTTTTAGAATAATTTATTAGGTATTATTCATTCACTTAGCAAATATTTATTAAGTGCCTATGGTTTGGCCTACACTCAAATATGTGCTTCTAACTATAAAATAGTGAGTCATTGAAAAAGTCATGATGTATTTTTTTCTATTACTTCTATGCAAAAATGCATTATGACTTTTCCAACCACCAAAAAGATGCCACTAAACTGCAGTCACAAAGCTTGCCCTACTGGAGCTTCATGGTAGTAGAAGATATTTGACTAACATAAAAATGATCATCATTCGAAAAGAAACTAGTTATTCTCTAAGATAATTCCAGGAAAGCATTTAATGTAGCCGGTCTTTCATTTAGAATCTTTGTTCCAGGGTAAGAACAATCTCTCTTGCAATTCTGTTTCCCTTGGAACCCTTTCTGAATCCTTCAGAAAATAATCTGTGAGGGCTGGAAAAGGGCAAGGAAAATATAAAGAAGGAAGAGAGGAAAGTTTGTGCACTTGATGTTTGTCACCCTTATATAAAATATGCTCTTGGTCTTCTGATCCACATGGGGGACTTGGATTTATTTTTTTTAAAGGTCTCTTACGTTAATGGTAGTTAAGAAATACTTGTGTAGCTTGTACTAGATAGAGCTAGCCTGAATAGTAAGTCTTGTGTGTTCTTGTGATGTACTTAAAAATCAGTGTTTTTAAAGGGTGCTGGCATTAGTATTTCACACAGTAAGCCTTAGCAAGGGCACTGAACCTTTTCTACATTTTATCTGAGTGTGAGGAGTGTTCAAGAAACAGTGGCTGGCAGGTGGCCCTGGTGAGGAAAGTGCTCTTATGCAGAAACCATGGCCTTGAGATGCCTCACCTCCCCTTTCTTTCGTTCCAGGGTGAAATTCACAGAGTAAAGACAGATGGCACCAACAGGACAGTGTTAGCCCCTCTGTCTCTGTTGGGGTCTTCTATGGGCCTGGCCTTAGACTGGATATCAAGAAACCTTTATACCACCAATCCTGGAACTCAGTCAATCAAGGTAAAATATATTTTCAGAAAATATTTTCATAGGTTTTGGATTTTTTTTTTTTGGGGGGGGGAGAGGTCTCAATCCCTTCTCCTCCATTCTCCTCTTGAGATCTTGGGCACGTACGCACATGTGACCAGAGTGAGTTTAAGCCACCGGGTCTGGGACTTGAACTACGGTTGGCTACATGGGATTCCAGCGACATAGCCATTATGCTAACTGCTGGTCCTGATTTTGGAATTATCTTTAAGCAAAAGGCAAAAGGGAAGAAATATCACTATTACTTATCAAATAGTCTCTGATACTAAAGAGGAAAACCATCTTAAAAATACTACCCTATTGTTTCTTTAATATACCTTGTTCATATAAAAAGATTAAAGGTAATAAATACTGTATAAGAAGATAAATAGGTCCAGCCATGGTGGCACAAGTGGGCAGGGTGTGGCTGCATGGTGGCTGGGTCTGCATGGAATGCCTGGGTTTGGTTTCTGACCTGCCCACCTGTGGTTCTAGTTGACTAGAATGCTGGAGCAGGAAGGATGGTGATGTGTTGATACCCTGTCAAAAGCACCTATCTCCCTCTCTTTCTCTCTGACTTTATGTAAGGAATTTAGTATAAAGGGAAGGTTATGATAGGCAGGGAATTGTCACTATTTTTAACTCATCTAATCATCTGTGCTATTTCAGTTCTCAAACAAATTCATAGGTTACCTCTGTTTGTAGATGAAAATATTTCTATGGCTCCAATACAGTTTTTCTAACAGTGAAATGGAGTCGAAACTTGATTCTAATTCCTTCGATACTCTCCTCTTACAGAGAAGTGTTCTTTTTAACTCTAATTCCCAGAAGAAATTCTAGAGGAGGTGCAAGTATTTTCACATGAAGTAAAATTGAGGTAACTTGACTACTATGCATTTGCTCCACTTCAAGACAAGGATAAAGGGGAACCAGCAGTTAGCGTAATAGCTATGTCGCTGGACTCCCACGAAGTCGACCGTGGTTCGTGTCCCGGACCTGGTGGCTTAAAACTCATGCTGGGCGCGTGTGCGTGCGTGCCCAGGATCCCGAGAGGAGAATGGAGGAGAAAGGATTGCGGCATGACCATCCCCATGGGGGGTGATTTCTCACTTTCTGTCTCTGTCTCTGTCTGTCTGTCTGGCGAGTGCACGCGCCCTATAGCGAAAATCTCTCCCCCCTCCAAAAAAAAAAAAAAAGACAAGGATAAAGCATGTAAGAGATTACTACTACTAATAATCGTGAGGTGCAACTTCCTAAAGCACACTGAGGATTCGGTGAGAAGGACAGTAAACAGGGCCCTATAGAGCAACAGTCTACTGCTCTGGGTGGGGAACAGCTGGTGCATTGGTGGCCCTTGGGAATAGTCAGAAAGGCAGATGCCAAAGACGAGAAAGCGCAGATAGTTCAGTGGTTAACCAAGTGGATTCCATAGGAGGAGCTCTCAGTGGAACAGTGCTTTACAGTTACAAAGGTCTTTCACGAACATCATTTCATTTAAGCCTCACAACATGACTTCTCCAGCAGTGTTAGACACAGTGAAAAGACAGCCAGCTGGAAAATAACTCAGCTTGCCTGTGTGTGTATTGGCAAGCCACTTTAACCACAGAAACCTAAACATTGTAATCGTGCCCTAAGCAGTGTGGTTCGGAGGAATGATAACTTGGTTTGGAATCCAAAGTCCTGGCTTTGGGTCTGGATTGCTTGCTTGTCTTATTCATTCATTAGAAAAGCATGAGTAATTTTTTTTTTTTAATGGATCAATCTCACGATTGGTTTTGGATATTAAAAAATAAATAATTTTTAAATAGCTCTCATATCTGAGAGAAACATAAGCAGATGCCCTTGATCCAGTATGATAAGTGTGATAAGAAGGATGGATAATAGAACGTGCAGGTGAGGGGGTCAGAGATGAGAGAGTGGGGAGAGAGAGGATGACAGGCTTCCCATTAGCAGTTACTTGGGAACCGAGTCTAGAGGATGACCAATATTTATTTCTGCCACATAAAGAAATAGGGAATAGATGTCCCAGGCAGAAAGAACACTTGAAGACAAGACTCAGAACTATGAAAATGCATTTTGTGACTGGGCACAACACTGCATGTCTTCTGCTCAGGAGCACAAATGACTTATCTGAGCTTCTCTTCCTTTTCTGGACAACAGGGTTAGTACTCACAAGTAAAAGTACTTTGTAACACCAAGGTATCCTGGGCAGAGGTCTGCTTCCCTCAAATGATCAATAAATTAAGAATAGCCACAGAAGTTCTAGCAGGAAAATAACCGAAGGGTAAATTGCCTTTTTGATGTTTTTATTGGTTTTTCCCTTCGACTATAAAAACTATAAGCGATTCTTCTGGGTTTAGACAATAGAAAAAGTGCTTATTTACTGTTCATTTTCCTGCATAAGAGTTAATTCACCTTTAATTGTGGCTTGAAAACAAGAGAAACATTGAAGAAATTACTTTCCACTAGGGGTAGCTGTGTGCCCATTCACTAAAAGAAATTTTATGACTGAAAAGCGAAGCCAACAGATTGTAAGAGAGAAAACAAGGAAAGAAACTTTTCTTTGAGAAAGAGGTTCTTAAGGATCCCAGCAGAAAGAGGCAAATTGGAAAGAGAAAAGTTGTTTTGGTCTGTAAAGGGAAAGAAGATACAAGAGAGAGAGAAAAGGAATTTTAAAAAATTTTTTAGAGAGAATACAGGAGAGATGAAAGGGGTGTCTGTGTATGTGCGTGTATGTGTGTGTGCATGAGTGTGTGTGTGTGTGTGGTTGTTTGAGAAGGACAGACACAGAAACTCAAATCATCTATTTGTATTGAAAAGCAATTTTATAGAAAACCCATAATGCAAATCAATGAACATTTTTTAATTCGTTGCTGATTATCTCTTAGACTGTCTCATTTTCTAATTCCTATAAGAAACTTGCTTCTAACCCAACAATCCATACTTCTATGTGCATATGAAGGTCCTGTTAACACTGTGATGATAATGAAAAATTTAAAATAGGTAACATTGGGAAAGCCACTAAACTTATCTAGGTCTCTTTCATCATTTGTAATATAGAAACAATAATGGATCTGTCTTTCAGAGTTATTTGTGAGCATTAAATATGATAATGCTTAGATTTGATGTTATATGCCTTAATAACTAATATCGCTGACTTGGAACAAATTTAACTTTGTGTTTGATCAACTACGTTTGCAGTGACAGGCCACTAAGTGCCATGGCCCAGCCACTGGGGGCCGGAAAGCTGTGGGATGCCCATTTGTCTTCCAGGGTTTTCTCTAAGCTATTTCTAAAATTATTTCTGTAGACTTTTCAGGCAGTGGTTCTTATGTTTACCCATTTGAATCTTTCTTGTATCCCCTATTAATTTTGTCTCCTTAAATTTTAGATCTGGGAGGTGATTTTGCTGTTCTTACTCTTATTTTCTGTTGAGCTGATTTCTCACAGCCCTGAAATGCAATTAGAGATTATCTGACTCTCATGCAAAATCTTTGCTATTTAGTCTTAATTATGCTTTGGAGTTTGTTGTGCATACAAGTTTTCTATCATCTCAAATTCTTTGTTTCTTCATTCTGAAACAGTTCTAATAGATGATTTTATACCATAGGTTTTGACACTCCGGGGAGATATCAGATATGGAAAGACACTGATTACCAATGATGGGACCCCTCTGGGAGCTGGTTCTCCAATTGGCATAGCTGTTGATCCTGTTCGTGGGTAAGTATTCGTAAATGGGCATACTTTTTATCAGTACCATTCTTGTTAAAGTCATAGTCTAATAACACGGAATATTTTAAAATTGTGCATTTTCTCATTTCATATGTCAGCATTTGGAAAATGTAGATCTGAGTGAGAAAGAAATAGTTCTGAGTTATGTCTAATGTGAAAGATAGAATTTGTGTTTTGTTCTATGTTCTTCCAATCAATAACACTGGACTTAATTCTAAACAAGCAAGAATTTTAGGATTTCTACTCCAATCGACAGTGCGTGAGGATTCCCCTCTCTCTACAACCTTGTCAGCACTTTTATTTGCTTTTTTAAATAATAGCCATTCTGACTGGATTTAGATGATGTTTCATTGTGGTTTAGATTTGCATTTCCCTTATGAGAACAATGTCAACATTTTTCTTATGCTTTTTCAAAATTTAATATTTTGTGGGACCAGCAGTTAGCATAATGGCTATGTCGCTGGACTCCCATACAGTCGACCACGTTTGTTCACGTCCCGGGCCTGGTGGCTTAAAACTCACGCCGGGCGCGTGTGTGTGTGCGCCCAGGATCCTGAGAGGAGAATGGAGGAGAAGGGATTGCGGTGTGGCCATCCCCCCTGAGAATGGAGGAGAAGGGATTGCGATTGCGGTGTGGCCATCCCCCCTGGGGGGTGATTTCTTGCTTTCTGTCTCTCTGTCTCTCTCTTTGTCTGGCGAGCGCATGCGCCCTACAGCAAAAACAAAACAAAACAAAACAAAACAAAACTCTCAAAGAAAAATTAATATTTTGTGTTAGTTCCTTTTATACATTCAATCACTATACGTCGCTTAGCTTGTGGCTATTTGTATGACTTTCTTTAAGAGCTGTGTGTTCAGGTCAATTACACATTTTATAATTGGATTTTGCTAGGTGGGTGAGTTGTTTGAGTTGTTTATATATTCTGGATATCAATTCTTTTTCAGAAGTATGGCTTGCAAATATTTTATCACTTTCTGTTGAATTGTCTTATTAGTCTATTGCTTCATTGTTGTACAGACAAGTGTCCTCACTCATAGTCAGAAGCTGAAGGGCTTGATACCACAGAAGTAGAAAGAGTAATGGTAGATACTATAAGATGCTTGGGGTGAGGACTGAGAGGAATTGATGAACAGACTCAAGAGTGCTTGTAAACAAGTAGAATAGATTATGGAACAGTATATGACAGTAGAGTGAAAAAGATTTTTGATAACTTAATGTGTACTTTCCAAAAAACCAGTAGAACGAATCTTGAATGTGCACAACATAATGTAATCCTAATTGTTGAAGATGGGGAATATGCTTAATCCTTGATTTGAATATTACACATTGTGTATGTGTTTTAAAAACCATATGTACCCCACATAGTACAATAATTACATATAAGTCAGAAATTACAACACAATAGTCTAATAAGAATAGGCAATGTATCTGACTTTGAATGAACATGGAAATTTCTAAGGGCGTAGGTAGCATTTGTAATAGTACCTGACGGATGAAAAGGTTTCCAATAGGAGAAGAATGGGTTGCAACTAGGGACTGGTACTTAAGGCTACAGAAACTTGGTGGAATTTAGCATGATTTTGCCTAACCCAGAAACTTAGAGTAGAGGGCAGTTAGTTGACCAGATGGGAGATATGGCAGATAAAGTCAATCAGGACTTCTAATGTCATGTTAAGGAGTTAGACTTTATTTTTTGAGTAATTGGGAGCCAGCAGGAAAATTTGTGAAAAACAGTGATAAAACCAAATCAGTGTTTCAGAAAGATTGGTCAGGATTGGGGTAGAAGTTATGTCTTCAGTGAAAAAGAAAACAGCTCTTCATTTATTATAATTAATTTTTGTGTGTCAAGACTTGGCAATACTGTGTGATGATTATGGTTCACATGTACAGTTGGTCCTCTGTATGAACCCACCTTAGAGTGAAAATATTTGAAAAATCAAGGGACCAGCAAGTGGAGTGGTAGTTAAGGTGCTGGAGTCCCACGTGGCTAACTGTGGTTCAAGTCCCAGACTTGGCAGCTTAAAAATTACACTAGGTTTGTGTGTGCGTACATGGCCAAAATCCCAGGAGGAGAATGGAGGATAAAGGATGCAGCATGGCCATCCCTCTTGGGGTAATTTATAGCTTTCCCTCTCTCTGTCTTTTTCTGAGAGTGCATGCATCCTATGACAAAAACCTTAAAAAAAAAAAAAAGAAAAGAAAAAAAAGAAAATATTTGAAAAACACTGGTTGCATCTACACTGAATATGTGCAGACATTTTTCTTGTCATTGCTACCTGAATAATACAATATAACAGTTACTTACTTAGCATTTGCATTATAATAGGTGTTATAAACAATCAAGAGAAGATTTAAAGTATTCAGTAGGATATACATAGGTTATATGAGAGTGCTATCCCATTTTATGTAAGTGACTTTGGTGTCTCAGATTTGGATGTTTGCAGGATCCTGGAGTCAGTTTCTGTAGATACTGAGGAATGACTGCTTATTTACTAAGTACAGTTTATTGATATCACTATGAAATAGAAAATTAAAAAAAAATCCATACATATACTTTGATCAGCATATTAATGGGATTCCATTCTCTCAGAAAAATGCAACTAAGTAATTTTTTTTGAGAGGTTTTTTTTTTTTTTTTTTTTTTGCTATAGGGCACATGTGCTTTCTAGAGAGACAGAGAGAGGCAGAGAGTCGGAAAGCAAGAAATCACCCTCCAGCAGGGATGGCCATGCCACAATCCCTTCTCCTTCATTCTCCTCTTGGGATTTTGGGCACGCATGCACAAGTACCCGGTGTGAGTTCTAAGCCATCAGATTAAGGACTTGAACCTCAGGCAACCACACGAGAGTCTAGTGCCTTAACCATTACACCACCTGCTGGTCTCTACTCATTAATTCTTCTATTTTCTGCACTGAAATTCAAAACTTTTTAAAAAAATTGCCGGAGGGCATGTGTATTTTTTAGAGAGAGAACAAGAAAAAGAGAGAGAGAAGAGAGAGAGAAAAGAGGAAAGTGCCCTCTCCTGTGGGGAATGGTCATGCTACAATTCTGTCTCCCCCAGTTCTCCCTTTCTTGGTGATCCTGGGCACACATGTACATGTGTGCCCAGTTTTTTTTTCAAGCCACCAGGTCAGGGACTTGAATTGCAAGGGTTGGCCATGTGAGATCTCAGCTGCCTTAACTTAACCAGGGCATGGGTTGGGCTGAGATTCATTGTTCCTTGCAATTTTCATCATGGAAATTATATTTGGTAAGAAATTAGCTGGTCTTGTGGTAGATGGTCATATGCAGAAAAATTAAGAGAACTGATAAATGAGCAGGAAGGTGCTTGGCAACTTTGGTTTTTGACTTTGGCCTTCTCAAGTGCTGGATAGTGTGTGATTCTTTAAAGAAGAAGGATTGGTGTTTGATGTAGGCTACTTTTTTTCTTTTTTTTGGAGAGGTTTTTGCTATAGGGCGCGTGCGCTCACCAGACAGACAGAGACAGGCAGAAAGCGAGAAATCACCCCCATAGGGGACGGCCATGCCGCAATCCCTTCTCCTCCATTCTCCTCTTGGGATCTTGGACACGTATGCACACGCACCTGGCGTGAGTTTTAAGCCACTGGATACAGGACTCAAAACATGGTCGACTATGTGGGAGTCCAGTGACATAGCCATTACGCTAACTGCTGGTCCCTATGTGGACTACTTTTTGTCATAAGCTTCCCACCTATCTGACCAAGCTCAACCACCAGTGGAAAACCCTAGTGTCTTGATTTAGACACTATTTTTAATGGCCTATACCACAGTAATAACTAAGAAATACATAGGCATTGATAAACACTGGTTAAGTATTCTTCCATATCATGTGCAATAAGATTTCGATATTTCAGACTTCCTCCATGAGACTGTGAGCATCTTGAGGTCCAGAAATACAAATTTTCTTTTAAATATTTACAATCTAGATGCAATTCATTCTAACGCAATTTCTCTGTTGTTAAACGCCAGTATTTTTCATGGTTGCAGGAAACTGTACTGGTCAGACCAAGGGACACAGAGTGGGGTTCCTGCCAAAATTGCAAGTGCAAACATGGATGGCACAGATTTAAAAATTCTCTTCACTGGGAACTTCGAACATCTGGAGTTTATCACTCTTGACATCAAGGAGCAGAAACTCTACTGGGCAGTCACCAGCCGAGGAGTGGTACGAGCACCCTTCTCATCTTTTGATCTTTGTTGCTGCTCTTGTGTAGCTGATGCTCAGTGTTTTGAGTTGTCAGGACACAGTGGTTCCTGCACAATCTTACCTGGCATCTTGTACCGTGATTTATTGTCCTTTCTCCCAGTAACTTCTCTCACTTGAGCAAATCTTGTCCTAGTTGAAGTCCAGTTCTTTATAGAATGTGAATTATTCCCTATAGAATAATGTGTATTAACTTTTTCCCTAAAGCTTTGCTTTTCTTTAGGATAAATTAATTCCATTTCTCATTTCTTGTACTTTCAGAACCATCTCTTCAATGTTTTAGTAATTTCAGTGCTTTTCTTGAAAGTACTCTGGGTTCTCTGATTGTAGAGATTAAGGAAAAAGTATATATTTAGTATTTATATTGAGTGCTTGGAAAAGTCACGGCACATTTTTGCATAGGAAAGATGTCATGACTTTTCCAGTAACCCAATAGTATATACATAGGTTTATGCTTTTCTCTCATACATCTATATTTATATATATAAATATGCATTGAGAGAGAGAGACAGAGAGATTGATTGCAGGTTTCTGAGCTCAGCATCCTCTCATAGTTATCTGTTCTTCTCTAATGTCCCAACATGGTTAATGCACATGTCTAACTTTCTTTACTATTAATTTTAAACTCCAAGATTGGATTCATTATATTCTACAGTAAGAAGCTGGAACTATAATGTTCCATTCATTCATTTAAATAATATTTCATCTTCCTGCTGTACTTATGTTGCTAAGCTGGGGCAAGGTACATTGAAGATGCTCAATAATAATTGATCAATTAAACATCGTTTTGGATCTTGAATTGGATATGTGCTAATCGATTCCTTGCTTTTTACAGTAGTGATTCAGATCTTTGACACTGATGTTCTCCATAATCTTATGCAGTATGTTTGGTTCATTATTTGTTCAACACGTACTAACTTTACTGCTGTTACGGAAAGCTTTGGGAATTAGAAGATAGTGACGTGTGTGAAAGCAGACTGGGGTGCTTGTGTACACTGATGAGGAAGCTCTTGTCACACGGCGTGCTTTCTG